CATATGTTGTCCATCACTGAACATAAACTTGTATATTAATTCAGTATAAGGCATGAACAGCCCATTTAGTATTTTTTTCAAAGCTCAAATGTTCATAAATGCAGTGATTCACCAAGTACGTTTTGTATCTCCTTGCCTTTTAAACATTTAACTCATACATTCACTCCTTACTTGATCCTGGTAGGTTTCCGAACAAGTAGCAAGCCAACATGACCTGGACATTAGGAATCATAGAAGATATGAAGTGAACTAGGGAATCTGATGAGCTGTTGTTACAATTTGGTGATGTGTATGTGTATGTGAATGAGTCATAGGAGTGTGTTTTCTGACTTTTCCACTTACAAGACATGTATATCTATAAACATGGGTTTTTAATGAAAACAATAAGCAATTATGCATAGTTCCAAGAGTCCTAAAGAAGTGGGGCAGCTTAGAGATTCAGTAAAATAAACACACATCCCGATGAATGATATACTTGGGATATATATTGCATACCAGGCTGTATAAAGACAAATGAGCTTCATTCTTTTCAAGAATAAGAGTCATTTGTTATTTTCATGTGTCCATTTTAAATGTGTTATTTAGATTTGTGGAAAGAAAAATAAAAGAGGCGATTGACTTGCTGAGGGGTAATTCCCTTGAAACTCATCATCTTTCAATAAAATGCAGCCATACTTGTCTTCCACAGCGACATTATTTTCACAAACCTTGTCAGTCGTGCAACTGAGATAAAAAGAAATACAGTGAGAACCAAGACAAAGAATTATTTATGTTGCTCGCAATATTTTCCCAGTTAACAGAGTTGACTTGTCTTGTTCAGGATGCACTGTTTCATGATGGCAGCTGTTTCGGTAGCTTCAAATTAGGGTTCTAGGATTCATCAGTTCTAGAATTTAAATCAACAAATAACTTGATCCCTTTCCAATCTTACACTCATTCTTTGAGTTTCTACTTAATTCAGCACTAAAGAGTGTTAATGCTATTCCATTTTTACTCCTGTTAGTTCATGTAAACCAGGAGTAAAAATGGGGGGCCGGATGTGGCCCATGAAGTGGTATCATGTGGTCCATGAAGCCATCCTGGAAACAGTGAGGGAACGGCCCCTGCTGCCTTGGCCCTGGCCCAGGCCAGCCGGGGGCCAATGTACAATTTTGTGGTGGCCATCTATGCTGAAACGCATTCAGTCTTAGCTCCACAAGGCCGTCTAGAAACAGCGAGGAACCAGCCCGTCTTGTTGGCCCCACCCCCTGGGTGCATGCTGTGGAGGTGTCACCCTTTATGAGGAATGAAGAAATGGATCATGCCTTGGCGCTTGCCCTAGTCCCACCCCCTTCTGCCAGAGACCCTCAGATCTGTCCCACTCCTGCCCAGGCCCCCACAGGCACCCTTGACGCGAATGATATAGAGCTGGCCATACCTACCCAGTAGGCCACACCCACTCCATCCATGCTCACCCAGTAGGCCGCACCCATCCTGGTCGCACCCACCCGGCCCCCCGAGGACAACCACAATGCTGATGCGGCCCTCAATGAAATTGAGTTTGACACCCCTGATGTAAACAGTCAGTAGTAGATATACTACTTGTATACTTGGTCAAGGTAGGAAATATACATTCCTCCTTACTCTTTAACCAAATTATTCTCCCCTCTCTTGTTAATTAAAATTGTATATTTTGTTAGGATAAGTTCCTGCTATCCAAGCAAACTGTTAATAGAACAAGGTATATGTTATAAAGATCCTTAATGAGGAAAATTTGTTGCTCTCCTGGAATCAGGAGAAATCCTTATGCTTATCTTCTTATGAAGTTAAGCTCTTGTTACACAAGTAGTCCTTTGCGTACAACAGTTCATTTAGTGACCATTCAAAGTTACAACGGCACTGAAAAAGTACCTTATGACCATTTTTCACACTTACAACCATCGCAACACCCTCATGGTCATGTGATCCAAATTCAGACACTTGGCAACTGACTCATAGTTATGACGGTTGCAGTGTCCCAGGGCCATGTGATCACATTTGTGACTTTCTTACAAGCAAAGTCAATGGGGAAGTCAGAGTCACTTAAAAACCATGACACTAACTTAATAACTGCAACGATTCATTCAACAACTGTGGCAGCTGTGGTTGTAAAATGGGACAAATTCATTTAACAAATATTTCACAGCAACAGAAATGTGGGCTCACTTGTGGTCGTAAGTTGAGGACTGCCTGTATTAAAGCGTCATATCAAACCGTACGCAGTGTGTGAAAGGCATATTCATCTTCTCTTCAAGTAGATAACATTCTGACATTTAGTCATGACTGGAAACTTCTTATGGGCTTTTTGGGTAAAAATTGAATAATGAACTTGTGATTTATGTCTTTGATGATTAGACAGGATGGAGATTCAAAAGAAGAGTATTATGATGTAACTTGGAAGAGAGGTTAAAATATAACTCTACTTATAACTGCTGGGAAGAATATCAGAAGCCACATCTTTGTATCTTACTTCTTTCTTTTCTCTTTCTTTTTTCTATTCTTCCACTTTTTGCTTTCTCTCTGCTTTCTTTCTTTGCCCTTTCTCTTGTTTTTATCTTTCTTTAAATGTTTTCGATAAAAATCATGTTTAAAAGGTGACTAACATTCTGTTTTGATAATTGAAAATAGAAAAGGCTGCCTCAAGTATTTCTGTCCATCAGACATTCAAATATTTATTTATTTATTTTGTTTAAAAAAATATAGCTGCATTTTTTTGTGTTTTATATATTGATTTTAGATTTCTGTGTAACTGTATTGTTCTTTCCATTTTATCACTGAGATCTCAGTTAGTTTCACTCCAATAAACTAAGATTCAGATGCTTTGGATGGGGCATCCTGTAATAAATACAAAAATTCAAAATTTGGCTAAATTCAAAGAAAACGTAGAATTCCAATGAATTTACTAAATAAGAAAGAAAATTTGAATTTGGTTGTTCTAAATTTTGAAAGCAAATATTACCTCTTTTTACATTTTCCAGGTGAAATTGGTAAAAGAAAATGGAAAACACTTTTGGCAGAAAAAAACTAATAGACTGCTAAGTTAGTTTCAATATTTGCAGCTGGTTATTCAGTTAAACTCACAGTACTAGCTATAAAAATGTAATCACTGTAATTAATTGAGCCAATTGGATTCTAGGTTTTGGTATGCTTAGTTGATTTCTGACACTGTACAATTAAAGAATTCTTCTGTTTGGAAATTCTACATGTTAAGTGCTGAATGTGAAAAGAAGAATATAGAGCTTGATGGGATTTTACTGAAATTTTAGGCAGACTTCCGTTCCTATTATTTAAAGATTATGCCATCCTCCAAGTGTGATTCATATGATGAAATCATCTCAGATAATCTATTTGATTGCCTTCAATATAGCAGCACTGATACTAGCGCGGAAGCAACATAGCTGCTGAATCATTAAAAAACAAATAGCAATTCTTCTCTAAACCAGAATCCCAAATCATTTGGTTAATGATGTATGAAAAATGCAAAACATCATAATAATTACACCTTTGGCTTGATGGACATGCTTCCTTGGTAAATTTTAAAACCAATAACCAATAACTGCAACCCTAAGGAGTTGCAATTTACACCATTAATGGGATTCAAATATGTGAACAACCGGTTCTCTGTGTGGATGGCACTTCTGGAAGTCCATTCTAGGCCTGGGCAACAAAAAATTAGCGACCGATTTTGCCGAACTTGTGCAAACTGGCTGAATCCCACCACTGGTTTACACTTTGACATAGGGAAAACAACAGTAGTGGAGATAAGGATATATTCTTGTGGAAACATTAAAAAGATGATAGAAGAAAAGTATCCACTGAATATTTCAGAACAGCAGGAAAGATGGAAAGGACAGAGGGAGGACAAAGCAAAAAAAGTTTAGAAGAGTTAAAATGCCTATTCTAGCAAAACATGAAGGTACACAGCCCAAGAGATCTTTAAGGGAAGGTGTCATAGGAGTCCTTCTGTTGCTTGCTTCGTACTGCATCTTGCCAGCTTGACATCAGCAATGGCGGGAGGAGGAGAGATTGAAATGTGTGTGGTTAAGGGTGGGTGGGTTTGAAATAGATCTGGCCTTGACTATGAGGAGCACCAATCAAGCACAAGTTCAGCAAAAGGAATGTAGATGGGAAAGGCGCAAACCAAGATTCGTTTCCAAAACAACCTGAGAACTTTTAATTGGACGTTGACTGATAATAGGGGGATGGCCAGGGGGAAAGGAAAAGTTAATTGCATTGTTTTCGTGCCAAGGGAACAGATTCTGCCTGCTCTGATCTGCAACCGCTTTGTTCTCAATAAAGTATATTCTTGGAAAAAGAAATGAACCAGGAGTCTTTCTTTGCTGATTAAACTAAGTGGGATGGGTAACAGAAGGGCGAGGAATTTGGTCAGGACCAAAGCCAGTGCAAAGGTTAAAGAGAAGGTCCTGATAAGCAAGAAAAGGTGGCTAGTTTGGACAGAATAGTTGACAGACATGAAAGAATCAAGATTAAATCATGGAAAAGGTGGGAGAAAAAGTTTCCAAGTAGCTAGGGAAGATTTTCTGGAATATATTCTACACTAAAGGGACAGAAACATCTTGAAGTGGAAGATATTGATAGAAGCTTCAAATATACATTAACTGAACAATTTTAACTGTATAAGACACATGAACACACTGAAAAGGCTGAAGCAATCTTCATTCAAAGTGGAATGTGACTGCACAACTACAGTTTAGCTACTCTTCACTTGCTTTCTTCAATATATTTTCTATCTTACCTGGACCATTGGGGAAAAGTTGATGTTGAACTGTTCTTTTCTGCACAAATATTCTGGTCTGTTAAAATGTTTTTGCTTCCACTGTGGACAGATATGGGAATCTTCACTCAAGTGAAATTTTCCTATTTCTCAAAATTTAGGATAACATACAATATTCCTAGGGAATTTCTCTTAGAAATACAAGACTAATCTCTTGTTCTGTTTCTTCACCTGCTGTTTCTGACAGATATAGATGAATGTCTGGTGAACAATGGTGGCTGTGACCACTTCTGCAGAAACACAGTGGGAAGCTTTGAATGCAGCTGCCAAAAGGGCTACAAATTACTAACGGATGAACGAACCTGCCAAGGTAATTGCTTAAATTAAACCTTAATTCCTTCCTTCTTACATAGTGATGTCAGTGAGTGCCCACCAAAATGTTCCTGGATTATGCAACAAAGATTGATTGAAATAGCACTTGGAGTTGTTTTCTTTACCTAAGAGATGAGCTATGGGCAGAAGAGAGATTACAGGTAGTCCTTCACATGACCATAATTGATCCCGCAATTATGGTTGTCATGATGGTTGTTAAACAGGTCATCACGTGACTATGCTCAACCTTTTTACGGTGGGTATTACATGAACACCACAGTCATTAAGCAAACCCATTGTGTGTTATGGGGCATTTTTGTTTCTGGCAAAAACAGTGTGTATCTGTCAAGAGTGAAAATTTGGCAACCACATGCCTCTTTGTTTTCATCTTGCCATTAGAGAGGGGGTGGGGGGAGATGAGGCTTTCATCTGGGTAAGTTGGAGAAACAAAACCTTTCCTGTCCCGAAGGTTTGCTGAGACAAAGCCATCTGGAAACTTTTCAAGGACATTCCAGCAGGTGTGAAGAAGATAGCAGATGGTTCTCATAACAAAGAGTAATTGTTTACATGAGCTAGGTGGACGTCTGAGGGGTTGGGCTGGGAATGTCATTGTTATATGCTATGGTCAGATTTTAGAGTTAGTTTTCCTTCGCCTATACCATGCCATGTATTCAATAAACCAGTAAGCTTTTCGGAAATGAAAATAACCCTGGACTTTTTATTTGGTTATTCGAGCTGGAGGCTGACAGTATCATGGTCACGTGGCCGTGGGATACTGCAAATAGCTGTAAATGTGGGCCAGTTGCCGAGGTCTCGAAATGCAGTCATATGATTGCAGAGGTAGTTGTTGGAACTTCAAATCCAGGTCGCAAATAGCTTTTTAAGTGTCCGTTGTAACTTTGAATGATTGCTAAGCAACCAATCATAAGCTGAGGACATACAGGAAATATGTTTTAATTAATTAATTACGTCTTTTAATTAATTTTTTTATTTTTATTTTTTTTCATACACACCCTTTCTTAATTTGTTCTTGTATTTTTTTGTTTTTATTTTTTGGGAGCTGGTATTGACTTCTTAATAAAATTATCTGAAATAAAAGAAGTTGATATGCCAAAACAACTCCCATGTTACACTCCAGTATCCATTTTATGGAGAGTGTATCAAAGGAAAGCAGGCTGAGAGCAAGACTGAGACAGAGCTGAATATCAGCAGAAAGCGACATAATTTATAAATGTTAAACTTATATGTGTTCCTGTCAAGAATGAAATATACCCATGCCAGATGCCAAACTAGTGATGTTCAGAAAAACAAACATAGCAATACACACACACAAAGTATAGCGTGTGCAAACTAAACTAGGAAAAAATTATAGTTGGGTAACCACACCAGAGTTTTTTTCCTTGTTTTTCACCCTCAGAACCTCTGCCACCCGCCTACCTACACATTCTCAGAAATCTTCTCCTGTATATTTTTATAGTTTATTCCCAATGAACATCTGAACTTCAGGAGACAGCACTGACTGCAGCTATTTGCCAGTATTATTTTCCATACTTTCCATTTTTCCATTATTTTCCACTAGGGCTCACACATCTACTATCTACTGTTCTCAAAATTAAAACAGGGCTGAACTTATCCTATTACTATCACCAATTACCAAAAATCCACACATAGGGATTGAGGGATTAGTCAAGAAATGAACATACTATAGACCAGGAAGTGATACTGGCAACTAAAAGCCTTCTCCTTTCATCAAGTGAATAATATTTACATATACAGACCTAAAGATAGTAGTTTTTAATTGTTTTTAATCTTAATAATAATAATAAAGTTGGAAGGGACCTTGGAGGTCATCTAGTCCAACCCCCTGCTCAAGCAGGAAACCCTATACCATTTTGGACAAATGGCTGTCCAGTCTCTTCTTAAAAAGTTCCAGTGTTGGAGCATTCACCTTGATTAGTTTCCACCCGTTGCTTCTTGTCCTGCCTTCAGGCGCTTTGGAACATAGCTTGACTCCCTCTTCTTTGTGGCAGCCCCTGAGATATTGGAACACTGCTATCATGTCCCCCCTTGTCCTTCTCTTCGTTAAACTAGACATACCCAATTCCAGCAGCCTTTCCTTATATGCTTTAGCCTCCAGTCCCTTAATCATCTTTGTTGTATAGACTTAAAGCTAGCATGAGGACGTTAAAGATGCTAAATATGGGTGATAAAAGAGAAAATGACAAGAACCAATAGACCTAAGATGCTGGATCTGAAACTCAGATCCTATTTTAAAATACAGAGAAGTCTGTGGGAAGTGACTAATAATTTTATTTGTCTGATTTGTTTGAAATATCTCTTCACGTGAAAAATATTTCTTTCCTTCTCCAAAAGGGCTTTCATGCCTAAAATAGGAAAGTGCCATGAAGATTTTATCACGTTAATCCTTCTAAGATTCCAGAGGGGAGCAATGCACGGAAAAAGAGCTCATAATGATTTCACTCCCCTTCTTTGTAAATTGTGGAAGTGCCCTCTCCTGGCCCTTAGCACTTGCCTGGGAAAAGAGCAAGAAAGCTGTAGAAATCTCTGCATATTTATCATTACTACAATATGCTGTGGTGATGAATAGCAAATGTTATTCTCGCTGTGGGATATATATACTTAGGGTTGACTGATAAAAACTGTACTGTTAGTATCTTACTAGCAGAAACAGGTGATTTATGGATTTAGTTTTATCACGATTTTCAGAAGGATAATTGGTGAACAAGGGAGGAAAGGCGGAAGCAATCAGCAAAGTATGAATCACCATATTTCCTTTCTTTCTTTGCTGACAAAATGTCCTGGTGTTTGTTTTTAGTAGAAGAAGCAAGAGTGGTTTGAGGTTACTCATCAAGATTTAATTTAGAAGTCTTTTACGGGCCTTTTGTTTTTCAAATAGCTGGGGGGGGGGGGGGACATTTTTCAGTGTTGCTGAAAAAATGTGTGCCAAGTTCTTTTTGGCTTTTTCATCACCCCAGTTAGAATTAGAAAGTCTTAATTACATTTTCTCAAAATACAATATATATTGTTATTTCCCGTGAAATGCTACTGTTTATTTTAATTCTATTTGATGGAAAATACATTTCTTGAATTTATAGCGCATTGCTTCCAGACTCAAAAGACACGGGGCATAGATTTGGTGTAGTAGCCCTCCTGGGACTGCTCCTTGAATGAAGAGGGCTATTTATTTAAAAGCATGCCACTTCTCAGCATCAAACTCTCCCAAGGTAACCTATAAAACAGAACTAATTTTGCATACATTGGAAAACAAATAAATTTCATAGGCATAGCAGGATGATTTGTCTAAACCATTTAAATATTTTAGAAAGGATAATCCACCTGCAACATTTGCATTCTTTTCACCCTTCCACCATTAATCTAGTCTGCCGTGCTTATATTTATCAGTATTATTCCTGGACTTAGGTCTCTCAGATCTTGTGTTCCTCAAACCCTTTTGAAAAAATGAATATTTTGATATGTCTGAATAATTTCTTTCTAACAATAAAAAGGTTTTGGAATTATATTTCTTCCTTTCAAGGTTGATTTGATACTTAAGCTTTTTCTCCCTCTGGTCAGCAATATTCAGAGATGACAAATTGATGTATGACTGAAATGGATTTGATCTCCATGACAGCAACATAAGAAAAGATACCTTGATACAGTGGTGGGATTCAAATAGGTGAACAACCGGTTCTCTGTGTGGATGCCGCTTCCGGAAGTCCATTCTGGGCCTGGGCAACAAAAAATTAGCTGCCGGTTCTGAACCAGTGCGAACCGGCTGAATCCCACCACTGCCTTGATAGCAGGGTTCTAGTCAACCATTTAACTAAATTAACAGTCTAGTAGGTGATTAAGAGTGGTACAGGCTAATTTAAGACCAACAACTTTTTTTTCATTCTGACCTTTTAAATGGGAGATGAGAAACAGTTAACACTTTAGCAGAGAAAAGACTCCGTTTCTCACTAGAAAATCTAAGTTTTATTTTTATTACAAGGCTAATGAATTATTCAATCTGGAACGTTCAACCAAAAAATTATGATCTTCATGTCTTCTAGTTGTAGGTGAAAATATTCTGAGATCTTATTAGAGAAAATATGTCTCTATGAAGATGTAGAATTTGGCAGAAAAAAGAATTACTAAACATACCTCTTTCATTTTGGTGGAAATTTGATGAGGACTGTCGGATGGTTGTTGTTATGTATTGATATTGACTGTTAATGTTTTTGGGTAAATGTGTCTCCAACTGTTTTGGAGGGGAACTGAAGTTTATATTTGAGCAGGTAAACCAGCTCTAAATCTGATTGGTGGCTGCCTAGTTGTGGCATTTATAAATATTTGTCAGTCTGTCAGTTGAATTCAGTTCTGTTATTCTTGCATGCTTCTCCCTGATTTCCTCAGTATTTTGATGTTAAGTTTTCCAAACAAGCAATTTCTGCTAATATGTTCTATCATTGCTAATAAAGATAGCAAATATAGTTTAGTCCTCATAAGAAAGATTCTCATTAGAGAGAAAGTTGAGGCTGAAGATGAGTTGGCTTTCATCATTTTAAGCAACTCTGGACAGCTTACAACAAATATTTGAGCTTCACCTCTTTTCACTATAGCCATGTATTTTCTATATTAGAAAATACATGTTACTCAGTTTCATTTTGCTCCAAATAAGGGAAAAAGTACAAGCAAGGGTACAACTGCCAAATCTTAGTCTGAGGATTTGTGTGAAGTGCATCCTCTCATTCTACTTGCAGCCAGGGCTTTTTTGATCATAGAATGCACAGAATGGCGTTCCGGCACCTTTTTTTGAATGGAAGAACCGGTTCCTTCTAAGCTGCCAGCGCAAGTACAGGTATGCTGCAGAGCGATTTTGTGGACACCCAGCAGCCCGACCCAGGCTCTGGAGACCTGGAAAAGGCCTCTGCTGCCCACATCTATGGCTGCTGAGCGATTTTGCATTCCCCCCCCCCCCAGCCGATCCAGGCTCCGGAGGCCTGGAAAAGACCTCCGGAGCCCAGATTGGGCTGCTGGGGGCCCGCAAAATTGCTACGCAGCTATGGATCCAGGCTCTGGAACCTTGGAAAAGGACTCCGGAGCCCAGATCGGGCCACGGGGGGACCGCAAAATCATTCCCTGGCCATAGATCTGGGCGGCAGAGGTCTTTTCCAGGCCTCTGGAGCCCGGAACGGGCCGTGGGGGGCTGTGGACGCATCCCCTGGCCTCAGATTGGAGCGGCAGCAGGAACCACGGCAGAGAGGAGAGAGTCCTTTTCCAGGTGAGTGATCTGTGCATGGGAAGCTCCCTAAAGAGGTTTCTTCTCCCCGCCCCCGCTCCCCCCGGCTCCGTAAAGGGCTTTCGACTGGAGCTGGAGCTGTGTGTGAGTTCCGGCACCTTTTTTTTTTTTTTTTTTTACAAAAAAAGCACCATCTGCAATTGTTGTTTGCTGATCCCAAATAGGGCTAAGAATTTGAGGATATACTGCCGTTTTTTTGAAAGATCAGTTCCTGCAGGAATCAAACAAATGGTTGAAATCAGAGGTTGATTAAGAGAATGATTCCTGGATAAATTTTAGAGTTATTTCTTTATCTCATAATGTGTTTCTTTTCTGTAGACTAAGGTAGGGAAATACCTTTCTCTTTTCTATACAAAGTGCTGAATTCCACATCAGACTGGGGAGTCTGTAGAGAAAGATTGCAGAAAATGTGGAGGCTTGACCATAGGCTAGCAGCAGATTTTACTAAAACTCAAAAGAGTTTATAGAGTTGTAGGCATTTAAAGTCTAAAAGAAAGGGAAAGAAAGTCAGGATTACCTAGAAAAGAAGGATTGCTTTGGAGTATATAAAATGGTTTTGATTGTTTTTAAGTCATTCTACTTTAATATTTTCAGGATCATAAAATATAAGTACACAGGGGCATATTATGTGAAACACCAAAACCAAAGCAACAAGAGAATTTGGGGGGTGGGCGGGAGGGATGTAATTTTAATCACAAATTCCCCTTGTTTCAGACCCACACTAATCCCCTCCTCCCATCAACTGTGTTGTGAAAATAGGATTGCCTTCTCCAAGATCAGAAAAAAGTCCTAGGGTAGCCCCACAAAAATGGGCCCCTCTAGGAACTCCATTTTGCTTCCCATGGTCCAGCAGTAAGGTGACCAACCGTCCTCCTTTAGGGAGGACAGTCCTCCTTTTGTAAGTTCTGTCCTCCCTCAAAAAGTGTCCTCCTTCATGTCCTCCTTTTCAATATTTGAAGACTAATCTGCAGGGCTTTTTGTTTCTCATAGAACGCTCAGAACGACGTTCTGGCACCTTTTTTGATGTTTTTTTTTTCAACTTTTGCATGAGCTGTGCTACTCCCACTATTGGCTTTTGAAAGCCAATAGGAATTGCTGCTGAGTGAGCCAAAACACCCAGCTGGCAAACTTTGTGCATGCAAGTTGTCTGTATTATTGTTGCAATGAAATAAAATGTTTCTTTTATTTACGATATTTTTTCTTCAATTTATTTGTGTCCTCCTTATCATTGTAAAAAAGTTGGTCACCTTATCCAGCAGTAATATAGGAATTGGATGGGGTAGGAAGGGTGAAGTCAAATCTTGCCAGCTCCATCTGGAGTGGCTCTGACTTCAAATACACCACCACAGAATTTTAGAAAATATCCATTAGAAAGAAAAGCTCTCATTTGAAGGGAAATTCATACAGGCATAGATTCAATAGGTATATATTTACAGATGGCCTCTCAAAGAAACAGTTAATAACCAGTTCTTCTCATATCTTTTGGGGATTCTGTTTAGAAAGAGAGATTAAATTATGATTAGCGTTAGGCTGTCTTTCAGTGCACCTGACAGTTGAGGGGAGAAAGTGATACAGGAAGTTAGCCAGTGACACAAGTCTGTTTTACCACAAGTCTACATTTAGGGGAAATCATCTAAAGATTAACACATTTAAGCATGATGAGAAAAAAGTGCCAAGAAATCATTTTTTTCCTATTTTCTTCAATCTGAGGGTCACAGCCCCTCAATCTGAGCCCCCACAGTCCCTAGGTTGCTCATCCATGGCTTCATCTATTTTTATAAAATTCAAATCAGAATCAAAGATTTCTTTTTCATATTCTCAAATGGCACTTTCTTTGCTCAGAACATTTGGATGCAAATGGAAAAGTATCTCCCAAAGTGACTATGGACTCTCCCCAAAGTGCACATAGTAATATATCCACTGAAATTATCTGCTGCTTTAACTATCTCAAGAACGAGAATGGGTGGGAAACATTTGGAGTGCTTAGAAAAAGAACATTATATACAACAATAAGCATCACAAATTTTTAAAAGTGTAACTATTATCTTAGTGAGGGCTATTTTCTTGTTAAACCATCAAAAACTAAATTTAGCGAGGTTGCAAAGTTAATTTCTGGTTTGACACAAGATAGAGATTCAGTAGTGACTCTCTGTGGTCAAAATGAACACTACAGCTGAGTATGACATTTCAACTCATATTTTAAACACTAGTTTGGTCCTCTTTCTATTTACCCAGCAGCTGCCTTAAGTGACATTTTAATGGAAATAATCTGCGGGAAAGAAAATACAGAAATCTATGCCACTGCATATGGACCGTTTGTTCCACATGGAAGGCACATAGGTTCTGCTTGCAGAAAATCAAAGCTTGTACTGTATGTTTTATTCATAGTTTGACAGCTGTTAACCATGACTTATGATAGGCTATTAAGAAACATGGATATTTTTAATATGTGTGTTGGTTAAATTTACAACTTCTTATACTACTTCTTCTCTCCCTTTTTTCAAATCAAGATATAGACGAATGTTCATTTGAAAGGACCTGTGATCACACCTGTATCAACTATCCTGGAAGTTTTGAATGCTTATGTCACAACGGTTATACATTATATGGAATGACACATTGTGGAGGTTGGAAGATTGACTCTTTTTTATACTTTTTGCATGAAATTCTTTCATAAAGCAATGTTGTCAAAACTGCATTACCAAGAAGGTAGATTTTGAAATAGGCAAAGAATCTTAAAATATGGAAAGACAAAAGAAAATCTAATTTTAAAATGAGAGAATGTTATTCGTATTTGTAGATTTCTTAGCAGTAGTTATTCAGCATTTTAAAGTTTGGTCAATTGTTCATAAAAAGATCATTTTTCATGTAAATGGCTGCTAAAGTAGTAATGGCTGTGATTCAGATACAAAGGAAAAAGGCTGCTACGAAGAGCAGAGCAACTCCTTAAGCAGCTCCTATTATGTGGCTGCCCCAATCCCAGGAAGAGATGCTTTTGGCTATAATGGGTAGAATTGCTGTCTGTAAGCCCTCATGCACTCTAAAATACATGTTCCCTTCAAAGGAAACGTACACCGTAGCTCTAGTAATTGTTAATCTAGTTTGCATTTATCATTTTTATTGATCATTTTTTCCATAAATTAAATGTCAGAATTGTTTGCTTTCTGCATAATAATTTATTTGTCCCAGCAATCTTTTTTTCAGAATTATTTATATTTTGTGAATATTATTATTATTATTATTCATTAGACATGAATCTCAGTCAACTGAACATTCAGGTTGGCTGGCGCTGATGGTTGACACAAGTTGCTATCAGCATCCTAGGTGTCAACCAGGTACCTCTTTAAAATATTATTATTATAATACATATCTATGAAAAAGATAGTATTCGCAATAAATTATATAATTCATGCCCTACCAAAACATCAACTCAATGGTCCCCAAGATTAGTTGGTAGAGGAACCTAGAAAAGGAATAAAAATGGAGAAGCCAACATGCCTCACATTTATATGTTTGAAAGAGACACAATGCTATTTTCATGTTAAGCTAGGTTGAGGACTGCCTTTATCTCTCATGATTTTCATCTAAAAGAGCTTGAATTTCTGATGAAGAATTATTGGAGTTCCCAAAAAATTAGGATAACACATTTTATTAAAAGACCTAAATTATTATGCAGCTCTCTTTATCAGATGCATAGAGTGGCTAGGCTGATAAAGGTTTTATATTAAAACGGGCAGCAGGAAGAATGGGAAAGCAGGATAGTTTATACAGATGCAGAGATTACAAGTGCATTATCAATTAACAATTGTAATGCGTTAAAACCCCATTGAGATTGCCTGAAACTGTTTGATGTGTATTCAGCAACCTCATAAAGGATTTTATTTATTTGCTAGGGCTATTTATTTATTACGTAAATGTACAGACCTCCCAACTTAAACCACACTCCCCTTCTGTAGGAATTATCAGACTGCATCTCCAACCCTAAAAGCATGCTGGAAAACCTAGGTCTTCAGTGTTTTTTTAAAAAAAAAATCTCAGGAAGGTAACATTCAACCTGATTTCCAGGATGACAGTATTCCACAAGGGGAGAACGACTGAGACTCTCTATGACTCTGCAGAAGACACTCCCCCTCTATAAAGAATTACAATATAAAGAGTTTAATTCTTTAAGGGGACATAGGACACAAGTTAGTTTTAAACTAGTCTAAATTGTCATAGAGACAACTTGTAAATATTAACTAAGTGATGAAACAGTTATTGCCAAGGCTGAGGATAGCATAGGATGGGAGTCATCTGTAAAGAAATAACTACAACTATTAAACTGAACTGTAGCTAACCATTTGTTCTGCTGAAGTGAAAGTCTCCAAAGTTTTTTTGCGGTTTTCTTGACAACGATATAGGAAGTGCTTGGTCATTACTTTCTTCTTTAGGGTGTTTTTACTTTATAGTCTAGTCCAGGGGTAGGCAACCTTGGCTCTTTTATGACTCGTGGACTTCAACTCCTAGAATTCTTGAGCTAGCCTGGCTGACTCAGGAATTCTGGGAGTTGAAGTCCACGAGTCATGAAAGAGCCAAGGTTGCCTACCTCTGGTCTAGTCTAATGTTTCTCAAGCTGGTCAGCTTTGAAGATATGTGGACTTCAACTCCCAGGATTCCCCAACCAGCATGGGAGTTTGGGGAGTTGAAGTCTACACATTTTCAAGCTGCCAACACTGAGAAACATTGTTCTACTCTATATTCTTTCCAGGATTTCCAGATTGTCTGCTATCTGAATACTAGTTGTTGAGATTTTGGTTGGGTTATATTTTTTTTTAGGAACAGTGAACATTGATATAAAACATTGCATTGAGTATTATTCAATATTAAAATACAATGTAGTATTTTTAAAATATTGTTCATGCAAATGGAAACAAAGCCTTACAAGGCAATGCTATTTAATTTAAATATATCTTTAGATGTGGATGAATGTAGCATCAACAATGGAAGCTGTGAATATGGATGCCTTAATACTGTGGGAGCTTATGAATGTTTATGTCCATCTGGAAAAAAATTACACTGGAATAAAAAAGATTGTGTTGGTAAGTAATACTGTGTAATAGACATTTTCCATTCTTTCACTTGTTGTATGAATGTCCGAGTAAATAACTTTTATTTTTCAAGCCTAATAGTGTACCCATTCAGTATTTATCATATATTGTGAGAGGGACTTTCTGCATTTTTCTTTCCTTTGTTGCACAAATTCTTCCTTCCCTTTCATTTAATTCTTAATCACATTTCCTTCATAACGAGCATTTTCTCCAAATGGAGGTAAAAGTAATTGATTTCAGTTTTATTGTTTATTTATTTTTACATAGTCCCAGTTTCCAAGTGGTGCGAGCTATTAGCCAAAAAATAAGCATTAACATTAGTGATATACTAATAATACAAAAATAATAATCTTTAAAGTCATATTGGGAATTACAAATGAAAAAATGTAAGTGCTTTGATGATAGTTCTCAAATAAATGCAAATCTGAACAACTCTGATTTTAAAGCTTTTCTAAAGGTCTGTAGAGATGGAACATTCAAATTTTGGAGGGGGAGGCTGTTCCATTAGGTGACTGTCCTTGATGAAAACCGGGAGTTTGTCGCTTTGGCCTAGATCTCATGTTGGTGAACTACCAACTACCATTAACTACCTCTAGTCTATATGGATGGGTAGGATCTACTTGAAATAGATAGTCTAGGCCAGTGAGGGCGAACCTTTTAGAGACCAAGTGCCCAAAAACTGTCCTGTCCCACCCCCCCCCCCAGCCTGCCTGTGCTTTGCCACTGCCCCGCCCACCTGCAGGGCCACTCACCGGCTCCACGGCCTGCTGCAGCAGATCGCCCAGGCGGCCTTGCAATGCCATGGCAACCATGCCCTCCACCCGCACCCTGCAGCATCATCTACACACAATGGGGCGCAAGGGTGGAGTCTTGTCCCTGCTGCCTGGCTGCGCTGCTCCGTGTGGGCCGTGCCTGGGGGAGAGTCTCCTCTGGGGGGAGCTGCTGGTGAGAGAGCTGTGGGGGGGGAGCGGGGCTGGGGCAATGGCGCGCGTGCCCACAGAGAGGACTCCGAGTGCCGCCTCTGGCATGTGTGCCATAGGTTCGTCACCACTGGTCTAGGCAGTACCTAGATGTCAAACTATCTAGGTCAGCACATTGAATTGTACGTTAGAGGTCTACTGGTAAACAACATAGATAGTCTAGGCCAGTGATGGCGAACCTTTTAGAGACCGAGTGCCCAACTCCCCAGCCTGCGGGATAGTCTAGGCCAGTGATGGCGAACCTTTTAGAGACCGAGTGCCCAACTCCCCAGCCTGCGGGTGTGTAGAATAGTGACTCATCCTCCAATGAGCATTTGAGACCAACTGCAGTTTTTAGAGCTGCCCTTTGTATAGCAAATTGAAGGAATCTAACCCATAGGTGAGAAGGATGAGGGATACTGGGGTATGCTTCTTCAGGAAAAGCTAGTAGAGCAGCTTAAGTGGAAAAAGCTCCCTGAGGATAGCTACAGACTCCACTTTTCTATCCATCCGTTGCTATGAATCTCAGGATCCTCACATGAAGAACCTGCTCCTGCTGTGAGAATGCTGGCCTCTCCACAGTTACCACTGGAGTGACCTCCTTTTTTCCCAAACACAATGGATAATACAGGTAGTCTTCAACTGAGCCCAAAATTTCTATTGTTAAGTGGGACATTTGTTAAATGAATTTTGCCCCATTTTGAAGGATGAGAGGGGACATGATAGCAGTGTTCCAATATCTCAGGGGCTGCCCCAAAGAAGAGGGAGTCAAGCTGTTCTCCAAAGCGCCTGAAGGCAGGACAAGAAGCAACGGGTGGAAACTAACCAAAGAGAAGCAAACTAGAACTAAGGAGAAACTTCCTGACAGTTAGAACAATTAACCAGTGGAACAACCTGCCTCCAGAAGCGGTGAATGCTCCAACACTGGAAGTTTTTAAGAAGAGACTGGACAGCCATTTGTCTGAAATGGTATAGGGTTTCCTGCCTGAGCAGGGGGTTGGTCTATATGACCTCCAAGGTCCCTTCCAACTTTATCATCATTATTATTATTTATATACAGATCTAGGAATAAAAAGGGTGGATACCAGTCGTCACAATGGTCTTATGGAAAGGATGAACCATCTGAATTAGTCACTTCCTTCCTGCTTTTTTCTTCCTCAGAGATGGTGAAATGTTTGCCCGGTGCCAATCCAGTTCCCAAGGCTCAGTTGCTCTGTAGCAAATCAGGAGGAATTGAGAACTGTTTCTTATTCTGTCCATCCAACACCCTTTTCGTTCCAGGTTGGTATCTAAAAACATTTTTCCCCTGGTCCATAAAATAAGTTACACAGAGTTGTCTGCAAGGTATATTGAAAAAGGTCAAGATGGTGTCACAACGATGCAATTGAAGCTCCACTCATTTTTACAGGCAACATACACACTACCTGTATTCTTAACTTTTGACCACAGAGAGGCATTAAAAGTGAGTTAAAATACATCTCAGTTAGTACCATTCAAACAAATAGTTTGTAAACACAACTGGGGACAGGACAAATGGGAACAATATTCAGTAAAGCTTTTTGTAAGCTATTACTAATAATTAGGTTATTGTACAAAAAAGTTGAGCATTGAGGTTGCCCTTTGAGGCTTTTCACTGACCATTCAATCACGGTCCCTGTCCAATAGCCTTACTGGGTTAAATTAGACTGGGACCTTTTGGCCATTTAAAAGCATATCCTTACCTCCAAACTTTGGGTAGCGAACATTCCAGCTTTTTCAAACGAGACTTTTCTCCTCTATGCTGAGTTCTCTGGCTGACCTATTCAGGCAGTGAGGGACAATTCTTTCAGTAGGTGTGAACTTAAATGGACTCCAGAAGATGGTAGAGGACAGGAAGACCTGGAGGAACGTTGTCCATGGGGTTGCGATGGGTCGGACACGACTTCGCAGTTAACAACAACCACAACAAAACATCTCTGGTTTGCATTGTCATGTGGCAATAGCTGACTAACCATGTGAACTTATTTTCCTCTGTTCTGGAAATCATAGTAAAATCATCCCAACCAGCACCAGTAGCAACCTATTCTAGGGCTCTGTTTGAATGCACTTGTAATATGCTTGTGTCAAATGCTTGCCGCATCCCCCAGCCTTAGCCCAATCCTGGGGTAGAAGTTTCTTCACTGTCTGATGAACATTTGGTGGGAGGGGAAGAGAATAAAATCCCCGCCCTTAATTTGCTTTATAGTCTGTGAAGAAGAACAGCACCATTGGCAGTGTGTGTGTGTGTGTGTGTGTACAGCAAATGTTTGTGCTGCCCCAGAACCCATAGAAAGAATCCTTAGGCAACTGTTGATCTAAGCTTTTCTCTGGCTTCATCCTATCCCAAAGCTGGCAGCTATCTAGGGGAAAGTTATTTACAGGTATAAATGACTCGGGTCTTTGTGATTATCTTGATCAACTAAACATGTGACAATGATTGGGTACATCTGGATGTCAAACCAGCTTTGTACCCAACTACTTTAATTAACATGAATACGTATTAATAATATTTCTATAGGTCAGTGGAAGGAAAAGATGATACTGAGATATATATATTTCTCTTTTCATTTTGTTCAGATTCAGAAAATAGTTATTCAGTAAGCTGTGGAGTGCCAGTACAACAGGGCAAGACACAACAAAAACGCAACAGTACACTACCAGGTTGTATGGGTAAGAACACTGTTTGAAATTTGTTGACATAATTAGTATAACATCTTGCATGTTAATAATCTTGGTGAGCGACTCTATTATATCTTTTGGGTATACAATATGAGTTTAAAAGGAAGCTTCCCTAAGGAAATACAAAATAATACACTTGTGCAGTACTTCAAACCTGAAGAGGAAGAGAAATGCTCTCGAGAACGGGTGTCAAACTCACCGTGTCACATGACGTGTCACGACGTATTGCGACTTTTTTTGCATTGTCAGAGCTGGGGTGGACGTGGCCTCATATGATGCAACTGGCCTGCAGGCTGGCAGTTTGATACCCCTGCTCTAGAGTGCAAGGGCTGGTTCTTTTATGAATTCCTTACAGCAGCTGCACCTTTTTCCAAGATGATGTGACTGCTTGCAGTGACATTCTAGAAAAAAAATGTGGGTTGGCCCCAAGTGCATCCCAGCATGTGCCCTACCCAGAAAGCACCTGGGGGCTTCCTCAACAATTTCATCACCTTGTGCCTGGTCAAACTGTGGGATTTGCAGATGACCAGAGTCCTTGGCAAAATAGCAATAGCACTTAGATTTATATACCGCTTCACAGTGCTTTACAGCCCTCTCTAAGCGGTTTACAGAGTCAGCATATTGGCCCCAACAATCTGGGTCCTCATTTTACCGACCTCAGAAGGATGGAAGGCTGAGTCAACCTTGAGCTGCTGAGAATCGAACTGCAGTCAGCAGAAATTGCCTGCAATACTGCATTCTAACCTCTGCGCCACCACCATTGTTCCAGCAAGGCCTTTGCACTGCCACTAACCCAAAACCTCCTAAGTTACTGGGAACTGAAGGAAATAAAGTGACTGAAAAGACACCTGGAGCAGCAATGGTAACAAATCAGACATGGACACAAGTGAGGCCTGGTAAGAACTCATGTTTAGCCTTATACAGTGAAGGGGCCATTTTTTTTACCCCCTGATCACAATTGCAGGTCCTAACCCAGTGGCCTTGCTGAGAATTATCCAAGCCCTTTGGTGGAAAGGTGGATAGGATCCTGCCCAGAACAGATATAATTTATTTATCTATCAAATTTATATACCATCCATCACACTTGCATGACTCTGAGCAGTTTACAAATAAAATGTGAAGATTTCTTGGCAGAATGTTGTTCATATCTGTTCTGGGCTGGATGACAGTTGGGTAGAGTCCATGATCATGACCAGGCAGCATCTGTGGAGGGACCTGTTTTGTTTAATTTTATGGAACTGGAGGAAGTAGAAAGGGTTCTTTGAATTCTGTCAGTCGTAGGCTAGATCCATGCTTCTGCTGGGTCCTTTGAGTGGCTAGGCAGGTATGAAGAGGCAATCACTACTACTTTGAGAAAGGAGGTAGCACTCTTATAGATGCCTTCCCTGTCTTCAATTTTCACCTTCTCTCCAACTTGCCGTACCTGAGGAAGATTGTTGAGAAAATATTGCACAATTAGCTGCAGAGAATCCTAGAGGAAACATTCTATCTGGATAATTTTCAGTCGGGTTTCAGGCCTACTCATGAAATTAAAATGTTCTGTGACTTGTGAGTGCTTCTGGACTCTCAGCTTTGGCTGGTGTGCCAGTTGCAACCCTCTTTGTAACTAACACCATCACCTGATCTGACTATTGCAACATTTTTTTTTACATAGGACTGCTTTCAGGGATGCCCCAGAAACTACAACTAGTACTAAACTGAGTCATGAGAAGCTACTGGCAAGACAATATCACTAATGTGGAATATCGCCTGTTTTGGAGTTCCTGAATTGATTGCCAATAGACTTTGCTCATTACCTTTGAAGCCCTATAGAAATCGGCGCTAGGACTTCTGCCCATCTATCCAGTCCTTTAAAGAGGGCCTGTTGAAAACTCCCCCGTGAGGTTTATGATGATATGGGCTACATAATGGCCTGGGGCAGTTCCTACTTTATCTCCTTCTTGAAGGTACATGTAGCACCTTCCTTGTCGATACTCCAAAAGCAAGCCAGGCTGCATTGCTTTGGTCAGTGATGGTGAACCTTTTAGAGACCGTGTGCCCAAAAACTGCCCCCCGCCCGTATTCTGCCTCCTGCGCTACCTGCTCTGGCCCCACCCGCCCCCTGTCCCGCCCACCCGCAGGGCCACGCACTGCCTTCCTGGCCCACCGCAGCAGATCACCCAGGCAGCTCTGCAGCGGCATGGCAGCCATGCCATCCGCCCACACCCCGCAGCATCATTTGCATGCTATGGGGGGTGAGGGCGGAGTCTTGTCCCTGCTGCCTGGCTATGTCCTTGGCTGCACTGCTCTGTGCGGGCCGCGCCCAGGGGCAACTGTCCTCCTGGGGGCTGCTGGTGAGGAGGGGGCCATGGGAGGAGGCGGGGCTGGGGCAACAGTGCGCATGCCCATAGAGAGGGCTCCAAGTGCCACCTCTGGCACACGTGCCATAGGTTCGCCACCACTGGCTTTGGTGATTCTCAGTCCCTTGAGGTCCAGAGACATGGTGTTCTTCACCTACCTGGTACTTTGGGATTCTTTGACTATGCATTTTATTTCAGGCATTGTTATATTCTGCCTGGATTCCATTGGGATTAGGGTATAAACATTGTAAATAAGTAAATAAGTCTTTGATAGCTTTAAAAAAAAAAGAACATTTTTCTTATCTACCAAACTTCTAGAATGCCAGTTACCAATCCATCATGGTTTTTGTTTCATTAACCTGGCTCAGTAAAAAAACAATAATATGAAACGTGTGGTGTTTGGTTATTTCATCAAATTTTATGCTACTCACAAGGCCAGCATTAAAAACAGTGATATAAAATTATTGTTTAACCTTTCTCTCATTTATTCAAAAAACCTCTCCAGGGCTATCTTTTACTTTCTTAAAAACATAACGTAGATTATCGTTGCTTTTCTTTCTCTAGACATCTTAATGCCACCCATCAAACAGAAGGCTCGTTTTAAAATTAAAGATGCCAAGTGTCATTTAAGGCCTCGCAACAAAGAGAAGATTAAGGAGGCTGGAAAGCAGCAAGTTCTTCTAGGTACAAGAGACTACGGGTTTCTTCTTAATCATTCAGAAAAAAAAAACAAAAAACCAAGTGAAACACTACATTTTTTTCTCGGTTCTGTTAAATTAACTTTTTGGGTTTTGGTTAATTCTGTTTTACAAGTTGTGGGAACTGCCCTAATGGTTTTCTTTTAATTGTAATGATAGTGGTACAGTAACAGGAATAAACTACAGGTAGTCCTCAATTTACATTTGTTTAGCAACCATTCCAACTTACAACAGCACTGAACAAAGTGACTTATGAGTGGTCCTCACACCTATGACCCCTGTAGCATCCCCACAAGCACATCATCAAAATTCGGGCACTCGAAAATTCAGTATATTTAGAATGGTTGCAATATCCCAGGGTCATTTGATTGCCCAATTTTATGACCTTTTGTTGCCATGGTTATTAAGTGAACCACTGCAGTTAAGTAAACATATTATATATTATAAACATATTATTATTTATGGTGGACATGCCCAGTTGCAAAAAAATACTGGACTACAATAAGAAAATGGATCAAAGAAATAATAGACCTACCCGTAGACTGGAAACCAGAGATCTTTTTGTTGGGTATTTTAAACAGAAAATATAGTAAAGAAATATAGTACTTAATTTTACATATAATAACGGTGGCAAGAATAGCATATGCAGTGCTGGAAAAATGAGAATATACCATCAGAGGAAGAAGTGATAAGAAAAATCCTGGACTGTGCTGAGATGGACAAATTAACAAAAGAGATAAAAGAAAAGGAAGACACAGAGTACTATATAACATGGAACAAGTGGTATGACTGGTTAGAGACTAGAAATAATAGAGGAGAATAAATATGGAAAGGTCAAAAGTGAAAATATGTGTATAATAATGTATAATAATATGAATTATTCTTAATAAGAAGTAGAATATGAAGGAAGAAAAATGTAAATAAGAAACAACGGGGCAATAAGGACAAATATTCAAAAGAAGAATAATGGGAGAAATGTAAATAATAGATTACCATTACGCAATCGCTATAAAAAAAAGGGAGAGGAGTATATATTGTGTGTGTATGTGTGTTATGTTTTGCTTTGTTTTGTTTTGTTCTGTTGGTTAAATAAATAAATAAATAAATAATAAAAAATTACATAGTTTTTAAGCGAATCTGGCTTTCCCCCATTGACTATGCTTGTCAGAAGCCATCCTTCTCTCCACCTTGCTTAACAACAAAAATTCTGCTCCCAACTGTAGCTGTAAGTCAAGGACTATCTGTACATCATCCAAAGGGCCCAGTTAACCAACTGAGATTAATCCTAAAAAGGCCTGTGTTTCCATTCTGAAGGGGAAAACAGCTCACAATCTGCAAAAGAAGAAGAGAGGTGAAACTGAGGGAGTGGGAAGTGAATGAAGGAGAAGAAAATTAAGCACTAAATGGATTGTTCATATATATGATTCCTAAAAAAGAGAAGCTGTACTAGGAAAAAAAATGGAGGGCTATAATTTTGAAAAGCCTTTTTTCCCTGGTGTTAAATAAATGAGTAGCCCAGTCTAATTAAACCGTGGTTTAACTTCTCTTGATATGACTAAAGGAACCATTAAGGATATTATAGTATAAAATCTGCTGTCTGCAGTGTCTTGTAACTGGAAACTTGCTTATTTCTGATTGTCACTTTCTGCATTCGTTATCAATTGCTGGGGCAGGGATGGGAGGGAGGCAGGAAGGGAGATGGGCAGGTGGCTATTATGGACTTCACAGGTGTAGGTAGTCTTTGACTTACATCCATAACTGAGCCCAACATTTATGTTGCTAAGAGAGAAATTTGTTAAGTGAGTATTGCCCCATTTTAGGACCAGTTGTTAAGTTAGTCACATGGTTGTTAAGTGAATCTGGCTTCCCCATTGACGTTACTTGTCAGAAGGTCACAAAATGTGATTACATGGCCCTGGGACACTGCAACCATCATAAATATGGACCAGTTTTTAAGCATCCGATTGTAAATCACATGACCATGGGGCTGGTACAACAGTCACAAGTGTGAAAAACGGTCGTAAGTCATTTTTCAGTGCCATTGTAACTTTGAATGGTCACTAAATGAGCTGTTGTAAGTTGAGGACTGAGAATGGGTGAGGAGTTTGAGCCCCTGTCTTATGTTGCTAGATTACAGCTAGGTTGGTTAGGATTGTACTTCAGCAACATTTGGATAGCCACAGAGTTTGGAATCTGAATAAACAAGTTTTCATCCATCCATGGATCCCTGTTCTGCTACATTTTGATATCTGGTGCCCCTTCAGGATGGTCATCATTTGGAGGAATCCTTTGCAAGAACTGGAACATTCTTTTGATTCTACTTGTCGTCATAGATTTACAACCTAGCTCTCTCTTTTTTAAAGCCAAGACATGAGCATAACTAGATATTCTATTTTAATAATAAAAGCAATGGTATGGTTTTCTTAAAGGTATTAATAAATTTCAATAAATGGCTTTGGAGGGTTCCTCTATCCCTGATTCATAAAATATTAATATTTTTAATATACCAACCATACTAAAGCTAATGCAGCTGATACCACTGAAATAATGCTACTGTAATTTTTTCCATGTTGTTTCTTGTTGTGCAAAGGAGGTCAGTTCCCCTGTGCAGACAATTGCCACATAACTTTTGTAAACCTAAAATGTGATTCCTCTAAGAAAAAACGCCGTGGGCGAAAATCTCCATCAAAAGAAGTATCCCATATCACGGCTGAGTTTGAAATGGAGATGAAGTCTGAAGAAGTCTCAGGTTAGTGAAATGGTTCATGTTAGTCCTTTGAGCCAGTGCTGATGATTAGAACTAATGCCACCTTCATGCATTTATAAAGACTTATTTGTGTTGCAGTGCGCAGTCCAAAAAATTCTTCGGCATCCTAATCAGCATAATATATTTATTAATATGAGAGGTACACATACAACAATGATGATGAATACTCCACAAATGTATAGCTCCTTCCCCAGAAATTCTTATAATGAGCTTCTTTTATAATAATTCATATCAGCCACCAAATGTAACTTTTCTGAATTCTCACTATTCATTTTTGGGTGGGAAAATCAAAACTACACTGTGAGGTCAAGGTTAAACTTGACTCGTATTCCTGGAAGTTGCTGCTATTGGGAATCTGTCTGTAGAAATTATTAGCTGATAATACTAGACTGTATTATACATTTGTATATGTATGTATTTATGTGTGTACTGCCTAAAAGAATTGTGTCTAAAAATAACTGATAAGTCATAAGATTCTTCAGTGTATATCAAATAGCCCCAAAGAAAAATAAAAGCAGACATATGCCAAACCCTAAATTTTATAAGATTATGATTTTATACAGAAGCAAGAGGTTGAAGTTAAAGAATTGAATGCTGAACAAGAACTAAGGCAGCCAGGCTGCATCCCTAAAGAGATTTCTGAAGATTGTATAATTTCATAAGGAGAGGTTTGCAGTTTTCTTCATGTTAATAAGTAAGTGAATCACAAGCAAGGTTTCTAAGGCTATGGAATTTCAACATACTGATTCAGATATAATAAGTGTAGCAGGCAACATTGTCTAAGACATAATCCTTATTAATTGAGATCGATTAATTCAATCATTGATATGAATGCCTTCGTTTTCTTGGAGGTGTCAGTGACTTCAGAAATATATTTTACTCCAGGCACATTAGAGGACCCAGCGAGGTTGGGAGGCGACTGTGAAAACTGTGTTCTAATTCAGCGCTAAATTGTTTCTAATATTTCTGTGTCTCCCTCTTAGACACTTGCAATATTGACTGTTTGAGGAAAAGGATGGAACAGAAACTACAACTAGCTATCAAAACCTTGAGAAAATCTATTAACAAGCAGCAATTTTACATTCAGTTTTCTGGGACAGAGTATGAAGTAGCTCAGAAGGCAGCGAAAATTGTCAGCGAAGGACATTCCTGCAGTACTGGGCAAGTGCAGCAAGATGGCAAATGTGGTAAGATTTGAATAAAATGCTTCACTTCACATGCCCAGAAAAATTGTTTCCTTAAGAGAGGATTTTTCCAGATGTTTCTATTGCAGTTCTGATTAATACCGTAGTTTCTGGCGTATAGGACGACTCGGCATATAAGACGACCCCCGACTTCAGCGCCAATTTGCGTGCTTTAGAAAGTCGTCTTATACGCTGGAAAATACGATATGTTTTCTAAATTGAACAAATTAGATATTTGATTGTATTGTCTACAACAGTGGTGGCGAACCTATGGCATGTGTGCCAGAGGCGGCACTCAGAGCCCTCTCTGTGGGCACCTGTGCCATTGCCCCAGCAGAGTTCACCAGAGTAGTGAGCATGTGACATTTGGAAGTGACAGGGCAGGAAGTGAGCGAGCAAGCGGCATTGGCCCCCAGGGATGCCCTGGAGATGGTGAGGGACTAGCTCCTGCCACCCTTGCCCCGGCCATGCTCACCCAGTCTGCCATGACCACTGTAGCCACACCCACCCAGTGGGCCACGTCCCCACGCCCCCCCTGAGGGCACCACAATGCTAATGCAGCCCTGGCACTTTGCGATAAATAAATGGGTTTTGGGTTGCAATTTGGGCACTCGATCTCTAAAAGGTTCGCCATCACTGATCTACAATATGTATATATTTCAGAGGTTGTTTTATTATAGATGTAAATGTGTTTTAATATGAGCAACGATGCTACGTGGGGATTTAAGATGTTACTCAAAGATTGCAAGGTCTTATCGACTGTAACGCTGAACAAGATGTGATCAATTTAAAGGGATAATTATCAATGATTGATAGTACTATGAAGACACTGTGAAAATAAAAAGTAACAAACATAATGTTGATTTTTATTTTTCCAGTTACCTGCAGCGTTGGCACCTATTATAGTGGAGAACATAATCAGTGCATTCCTTGCTCACCAGGAACATATCAAGACACAGAAGGTCAACTCTCCTGTGAACCTTGTCCAGGAAATGATGGGCAAGGCATTGCAGGTGCACGAAGTGTGTTAGAATGTGGAGGCAAGTAGCATTTCATTTCACAAATTTCATTCAGAAACTGGAGTGAAAAGTTCATTAAAAATAGGAAAAAGGAGAAATCTGATGTTGTGACCTGAGCCATAAACCATTGTGTTGTATTGACTTGTCTGTGATGCCTGCTAAATTGTTTTCTGGGGTATGCTTAGATCCGGCATAATCAATTCATGTGAAGCACCAATCAGGTTATTCTGAATGTGTGTGTCCTAGAATATATCTGATATTTTATACGGTAGTCCTCAACTATCTGAAGTTGTAACAGATTTCATAGCTACTTATGACCCATCCTCAAAGTTACGACTGCTGTGTGTATGCACTCCACGTCATGAGATTACATTTCGGGAACTTAGTAACTGGTAACATTTGGTAATGTTGTAACTTGGTAACATTTACAACCAGTTGTAGTGTCCCACAGTCACATGATTGCAACTTCCCAAGGGGTTTTTTTTAGCATAAAAAGGCAAAAAAAAAAAAAAACCCATAGGAATCCCAAAGAGCAAATGCCACAGCCACTGAAATAAGTGGTAAGCTATATTTATGTGTAAACCATAGATTTATTCCATTTTTAGGCCAGTGTTCTCCTGGGCAGTTTTCTTTTGATGGTTTTAAACCTTGCAGACTGTGTCCCCTTGGCACTTATCAGTCTGAACCAGGAAGGACACTCTGTTTCCCCTGTGGTGGAGGACTGGGGACAAAATATGAGGGCGCAGTTTCATTTCAAGACTGTGAAACTAAAGGTAGGTTTATGTTCTCTCCTTCCATTTATTAGGGCAGCTCAAAATACCATAAAATGATGGATGGATTATGTTTCATCAAGTCTTTTTCAACTCATTGCAACCATACAAATAGATCTTCTCTATGATGCTGTATCCCTAACCTATTCTTCCAAATCTCACCACTGAGGAGTCCATCCCCCTTACTATTGGTCATCTTCCTCCTTCTCTTTCCATCCATCCATCATCAGAGACTTTTCCAAAGAACTGGGTCTTTGCATAATGCATCTAAATTATGATAATTTAAGGCTGGTCATTTGTGCCTTCAGTGAGGATTTGGGGTTGATTTGTAAAAGGTAGCAAATGCATCTTGAATAAGACTTTTTGCATAATGCCAGCCTAATGTGTTTCATTTTTTTCTCTGTTCCTTTTATCTTGCATATATTATAAAACAACCGGCCTCTCTTCTAAACAGTTCATTGTTCTCCTGGCCATTACTACAACTCTACAACCCACAGATGTATCAGATGTCCTGTAGGAACCTACCAACCTGAATTTGGCCAGAATTATTGCATCACTTGCCCTGGAAATACAAGCACAGATTTTGATGGTTCCACTAACGTTACACACTGTAAAAGTAAGTTTTCCCTATGATCGGCTATACTTCCAATATTGCCTTGAATGCCCTGTGAGCAGGTTACTAAATTTGTTAATCTTAAATCTACTGCCAGCCATAGCCCATCTATAAGCTACATGGGTACTATATAATTGAGCTGAGTTTGAAAATCTTACAGATGAAATTCAGTGATTATTTTATTTGCTTGACTGCTATGTAAACATTATCAAAATGCAGGATTCACCTCTAAACTCAGCCAGTCTAAAACCTGATCTATCCTTAGCAGTAGTGTAAGACAGTGAGGTACAAAGGATCCCAGCCTCAGATCACATCAAGTAAACTGTTTTTGAGCATCAAGGCAATTTTCCCCATACAAATCTTTCTTGCTGCTACTATAAAATTGAAGGTCTCAATGTCTCTCCATTGTGTTTTCACTCCCTTTACAATAATATAAGGATTATGGAAGCACTATCTCAGCAGTCACTTCTCTGCATAAGAAAGAAGAAATACCTTCTTTAGCAAAGTACATATTCTAAGGGTCCATGACTATGGAAAAAGTACAGAAAAGAGCAATAAAGATGATCGGGGGACTGGAGGCTAAAACATATGAGGAACATTTGCAGGAATTGGATAAGTCTAGTCCAGGGAAAAGAAGGAGCAGCGGTGACAGGATAGCAGTGTTCCAATATTTAAGGGGCTGCCACAAAGGAGTCAACCTATTTACGAAAGCACCAGAAGGCAGAAGACACATGAGATGGGAACTAATCAAAGAGGGAACTAACCTAGAACTAAGGAGAATTCTCCTGACTGTAAGAACAATTAAGCAGTGGAATGGCTTGCCTTCAGAAGTTGTGGGCACTCTATCACTGGAGGTTTTTAAGAAGAGATTGGACAACCATTTGTCCAGAATGGTATAGGTTCTCCTGCTTGAGCAGGGGGTTGGACTAGAAAACCTCTAAGGTGCCTTTCAACTCTGTTATAACTATGGCTGCATTAACTTCTCTTGGTACAAAGAAATATAACAATCAAGTGTATTATGTTATAATTTTTACTTGAGGAAGACACTGGAATTTAAACAAGTAAAATTACCGATATTTCATTTTTGTACATTACTAATTTTGTTCATTGGTTATTTACTGCTCATTTACAAGTGTAACTATTTAGATGTAATCTGTATATCATCCATGTTTAATTATTATCTGAATTAGAAAAAAGTTGTTCAGGCCAAGTGTGATTTCTGAAGATTTGATGGACACATGGAGTTTTTTTGGCAAGAAGACAGAACTTTTTTTTTGCCATAGCCTACTCCCAGGGTGGTTTATCTAACTATAGCACTGGGATTTTCTGGAGGCATCCTATCCAAGTATTAACCCAGCTTGACCCTGCTTAGCTTTTTTGAGTTCAGCTGAGAACAGTCAGTGCTACTATCTGCTGAAACAGGATATAGCTACAAAATGATACCTCTTGTATAGATATATAATAAAATATACATTCGCATATATAATGTTACTCTTCCTTGGCAAAGGGTAAACGGTTGGCTGTATGATGATGTCATTTGCATTAAATTAATTAATTAATTGATTGATTAATTCAGAGCAAGGGTTCACTGCGCACATCATTTTGCTAACTCAGTGTCGGTTTTAATTTTCTTCTCAAAATAGGAAGCTTTTTTCAGGAAGAGGAAACGTTCACACTCAATTTGTCAAATTTGGGTTTGGCTTAGCCAAAAAATAAGAAATATCTACCTTTTCAGAAGGCAACATCTGGATCCTATTTGAACTGATGAAAGAGTTTTTACCATTTGACTCTTGTCTTTACACACAAGAAGAGATTAGAGCTGTGCTGCGGTTCATATTTGGAAGCAAAAATGTGCTTTGGAGAGCATAAATATAGCCCTTGACCATCATTCTTAGAAGCATCAGTGTCTTCCTAGGAACTTAAGGAGTTGCAAAGAGGGACATTCCCACTCCCACCCATTTCAAAGCACAGCCAAAGACAGATATTCATAAATGTGTATCAAGGCTTAAGGAACATAGCACAATCAGATTTATAGTTAGATAGAGACCCCAAAGGAAAATCATCCAAAATAATATTCATGAAGTAATTTTTAATATGCAAAATGATTTATACTGTGGTACAGCTTCTTAAAACAAGACCAATGAGTAGATGAAGAGAATCCCTATTGTAGAAACAGAAAAGTAAAACATGAGTAGGTCAGCGCAGTCTGAGTTCATCTCTCTTCCCTCCCACCGCCTTTCTTTCTTTCTGTAGATCAACAGTGTGGTGGAGAACTTGGAGACTATACGGGATACATTGAATCCCCCAACTATCCAGGAGATTACCCAGCCAATGTTGAATGCACTTGGAATATAAGCCCGCCCCCAAAGAGACGGATCCTGATTGTAGTCCCAGAGATCTTTCTCCCAATTGAAGATGAGTGTGGTGATGTTTTAGTAATGAGGAAAAGTGGTAAGCTTTGTCCCTAGTAAAGCCAGAAAACCATCTCAGAAGACTGTCACTGAATAATGATGTTTATTTATCTAAAACTTCAGAGTGTTGACTTAGCTCTTACCATTTAGAAACTATATCTGCAGGGGGAACTGACCCTAAATTCAATATTTGACGAAGATTTTGTCACATTTTCTATGTAGCACTTTCAATAGTGTCTAAATGGTTGGTGTTGGATAAGGACTATGTTTTCTACAGAATTGCACCCTGTATATAATCACTTCTGGATCTTTTTTTTTTGTTTTCTACTGCCCAATTTATTTCTACCTCCAAACAACATTAAATGAAATAATTTATTATTACCCAGAGCATAGACTAATGTAACCCAAACAAGACTTACAAATGATTCCTGAACTTCTGCCAATGAAAGTTAGTTTAATTAGATCAGCTGCGAGATAGCGTGATATACTTTGAATAATGGTCTTCTCAGTGACAGAATACAAGCTTTACATAAGGAAAGTTCAGTGTTCAGTCCCCAGAAAAACATGGCCTCAGGATAGTTAGGAAAAATTCTCTCTGAAAGACTGCATAGAAAGGTACTGTAGATCTTGCTAATTTTAGACTAGAGCAGGGGTCTTCAAACTTAACCCTTTTATGACTTGTGGACTTCAACTCCCAGAATTCCTCATGCCTGGCTGAGGAATTCTGGTAGTTGAAGTCCACAAGTCATAAAAGAGCCAGGTTTGAAGACCCCTGGGCTAGAGAGAATGCTAAATATAGCACTTCACATATCTTGAAAATTAAATTTTATTTTTAGAAAAATCTGTATGTTATTTTTATTTTATTTTTAAGCTTCACCTACATCAATTACTACCTATGAAACCTGCCAAACCTATGAGAGGCCCATAGCATTCACCTCCCGGTCACGGAAGTTATGGATTCAGTTCAAATCAAATGAAGGCAACAGTGACAAAGGATTTCAAGTCCCCTATGTAACATACGATGGTAATATTTATGCCAGTATTGTTCTAATATATAGTAGGTGAATGCACAAATACTCCAAAATAAATTATGTTAATAGAGAAGGAGGGATATACAATTTTCTGGTCTTTCCTTTTCCTTCAGTATTTTTAGAATCAGTAATGGTAACGATTTTCCATACAGGAATATATAATTACTATATACAAATTATTTTACTTAAATATCCAGAAAGTACTCAGAAAGTATTTTTTTTAATAGCTAAAAGCATATTTGGGTCCCTTGCTTTTTTTATTGCTTTACTGATGAAGGACAATCACACATTTTTACAAACCATTTGTTGTATGAAATGTTTAACCATGCTTAAAACTCAAAAAAGACCTATCATATTTCTACTTAGAAAGGAGATGTCTTTGTACTAACTCATGTTTTTGAATTAAATACAGTCATATTTATTAATTCTATGCCACTGAGAAGAAACATACAACTTTCCTTTCCTCTTCAACATGCTCCAAAGTCGAAAGGTTTTTGGAATTCTCTCTTCATTTTTGCCTTCTCACAACACAGCATCAGCAGAATTTGGTTAAGTGAACGATTAATTTTATATCAATTTGCAATTAACATTTGAAGCTGATTTGCAAATCCCAATTGATGACAATCTCAGCTGGGTTAAACTTCAGTAAATAAAGCACTAGCTATTATTAACAACAAATGGAAAAAGATTTTTTTTTTTTGTCAAACAGGTTTAATCTATAAACTTGATTTTGTACAAAATCTGTGTAGTGTCTGGCTATCTATAGTCTATCCATCCACTATCCCTCCTTCTATTCCCTGTCCTCTTTACATTCTCAATGAAAAAAACATAATAATATAAAGAGAAAATATGCTATAATTTCTTTTGACCATCCGTTATACAATTGGTCTAGTGCAGTGGTTCTCAACCTTTTTAATGCCGCGACCCCCAACTAGTCATAAGTCAAGGACTACTCAACTGGTGTAGCACCGTTTGCAGAATGGGACTTTTGGCGGGCTCAGCAGGGCAGAGATAGCCTGGACAATTCCTATTGGCTTTTGAAAGCCAATAGAATTAGACTCTGTTCAAGAGAGTCTATTCTATTGGCTTTCAAAAGCCAATAGAATAAAAGGGAGTAGCACAGCTAAGGAAAAAGGGGAAAAAAATGGCGGACTGCGTTGTTTGGCGACCCCCGTGAAATGGTCGTTCGACCCCAAATGGGGTCCCGACCCACAGATTGAGAACCACTGGTCTAGTGTTTTTCATGGTCTGAAATAAGATCAGAGATATCTATATCTGCCCTTTTGGGTGGTGGTGAGGGGGGTTGTTGTTTTTTGTTTGTTTGTTTTTTGTTTTTGTGAGTAATGAAAGAAATTTACCTCAAGCTGGTCAAAACCCGTGTAAAACCACCAGTCAGCATTCATAAAATCAGGGTACTTTAGGCTCTGGTCTAGAAACTAGGAGACCATGAACTCTAGGCCTCACTTTGGCATGAAACCTAGGTGGGATTAAAAAAGTGGGATAAAAATCTAAAAAATAATTCAGAGAAAGAAAGAGCCCTATAGGAGACATCTTTGAGAAACATCACAAGATTTCTTGAGATCAGAAACAAAAAGGGATTTCTACCAGTTTCTCTTCTAAGATCTTCTATCTACATATCCTGTAGTTCATGGGAAGTTGTCCTGAAAGGACTGCACCTTGATGCCAAGATAGTGAGAGGGAGATAGACAGCATATAAATTTAATAAATAAAATCGATTTAAATAATAAAAAAAATCAACCAAGAGCCTCTGTTCAAATCCAAGATTACTTCAAAATGTGTGGCTAATCTGCCTGGACGTTGTTGTCAGGGGAAAAAAAATCATTGACTCGGTCCTTTTGCCATTCACTTTTCAGAGGACTATCAGCAGTTAATAGAAGACATTGTTCGTGATGGACGTTTATATGCTTCAGAAAACCACCAAGAAATTTTAAAAGTAAGCTTTCCATATTTAGTCTTTCCTAGTGGCTTTTATTTAAGATGTTGCAGAGTGCTTCTTAAAATTGGGAGACTGAAAACTGGAACTCCATTCTATGGAGAAGGACATCTTACCTAGTTGAGGGAAGCAGGATAGGATGGCCAAATGGGAGGGTAGGAGAGCCATTGCAAAATTATGTGCTTTTGCTTCTTCTCTCTCCCACAGGACAAGAAATTGATTAAAGCCCTTTTTGATGTATTGGCACATCCTCAAAACTATTTCAAGTACACAGCACAAGAATCAAAGGAGATGTTTCCAAGATCATTTATAAAGCTATTGCGGTCAAAAGTTTCCAGATTTCTACGACCATACAAGTAGCTTCTAGTGCTTTTCAGGGGTTTTGTTTTGTTTTTGGTTCTTTTGCATTCCTGTCAAATATTGTATTGGGTTTGACTGTAGAAACATTTTTGCTGATTTTAAGATTTCTTGCCCATCTTTATCTTAAATTGTATATTGAAGAATAACTATAATGTTTTATAATCTCCAATATTTGATGGGATTTTTTTTTTCACTTCAAAGAAAAGTAACTTGGAATTCCAGAGTACATCCAATTGATGATCCATATTTTGGCTACACAACTTTATTTTCAGTTTGTCATAGAGAAGCGTTTGTTTTAGAAAAGGAACCTTGTTTATCTTCCACATAAAGAAGACACTTGTTCATCTTGTTGAAGAAACTACCTGCAAAGAAGAATTATTGATAGAAAAAGTATGTAGTATAAATAATACTTGGATTTTGAATTGCACTTGAACTTTATATGTGAAATTAGGAGAAGGGGAATCTAAACTTCATTGTTTCCTATTGGTGGTTTTATGGAGACTTTTTTTTATAAACCAAAAAGAAGGTGAGGGTAAAAATAGTTGTCTTAATTTTTGTTTAATCCTACAATCCATAGATTTCTTGTCCCTGATGTAAAAAATTTAAAACTGTTCTGAAAATGGAATGCAATGATGGAATTAGACACAGAATTGGTTTCTCTGCTAAATTTTATACCAAGAAGGAAGAGTCTTAAGGGGGGAACTAGTAGCTAGTTTTCTTGCTCTTGATGGAATATCTAAATATGTACAAAATCTAACAGACAACAGAAATATCATTCATATAATGTGTCTCACAGGAATAAATCACAGCTCAGATCCTGCTGATGCTTGCTACTAGGTGTGATGAAGTGGGGACAGAGATTCATGTGCAGTGCGTTTTTATCATCGTCCACATTCTAGGCTATCTGTTGGCTTCCAAGGACCAATCAATCTGTCTCTCTCTCTCACTTACCCACTCACCTCATCTAAAGCTTGAGAGACTGGCTGCAAAATACTAGATTTTTTAGACCTTGGGAAAGATAAATTATTTTGTCCCTTCATGTGTGCATTCATTGGTTGATGGTAATAATCCTTGCTCAATTTGATCTGATCATCATAATTGCTTTATTATGAATCCCATTGAGTTTTGGAGGAGAAATACATTACTGTAATCTACTTCTTGGCATCAGAACTGACTTCAATATCTGCTGTTGTTGGCATGGAAAACTCCAAGAGTGAGCAGGGAGTTAATAAATATATCCATGAAGTTACTTTAAGAAGGTGAGCACATTCGAGAAAAACTTTAACCTCTGTAAATTATTTGTTCCCAAAAACCTCTCCAGGCTTTTTGCAACATTGATCAAATACAACATTTTATTTCTCATCCTCTGCAAGTCATCCCCTTCAAGAACTTCCAACTTTATTTTCTCAAGACTCCTGGGTAGTAGGTTAAGTTGATAGTGAACATGCCCAGCTTAATAATATAGCAAATGTGGCAGAATAGCTAAATAGCACTCTAATGCCAACTAAAAATCAAATGCAAATGCTGTATGGAGAAAACTAGTGCTCAAGTGTGATAAAGAAAGAAACAATTGTTATTCCAATTTGAGTTACTTCAAATGACATATACTTGTTTTCAAAGTAAATTGCACATCTGTACATCTTTTTAATTTCATGTAAACCTAAGTGAGTTCTGAGGATAAGAATACTAATGACCGATAGAAATACATCTCTGCAAATGGTGCCCCTAAGAATGCTTTACAAACCCTTCTTCCACCAATGGAGAAGAGTGAAATTACTGAAATAGTGAAATTACTGCCTAATTCTACTTTCCTCTTTTTCATCTGCCTCTGGTGCTAGTTATGGATGAGTAACAATAGCTATCAGCTTTCAGGGATGTGCTTGAACAAATGTTCTTATGGCAGAATTAGAATCCTTGCTAGCTGTTTCCATCTGGCAAGGCAGAGGATGCCAGAGCCGAAGGGAAATGCCCCTCGAATTAATGGTGCCACTTCCCAAGTAGGGAATCAGCTGCAAAAAAATGGTATTCTTGGAATTACATATGCAAGGACAAATGGATTTGAGACATCTGGTAAAGATACATTCTACAGTCTCAAGAAAATCTAGGGCCAAGTTCCTGCATTCTACATTTCAAACAACAGCAAGAAGCAGCTGAGAATAAAGGAAGCAGTATAATTTACTGAACATACCTGTACAAGATAGTTTCTCTGGTGTGTTTTCCATTCTATTTACAGTGCAAAGAAAAATGCAACTTGGTGTGCCATCCTGAATCTCAGACAAGCACGTGAGATCCAGAACCTTCAGAATAGAAGTTCATTAAAAGCAGAAAAAATATTAATACTAGATCAGTGGTTCTCAACCTTTTTAATGCTGCGACCCCCAACCGGTCGTAAGTTGGAGACTACTCAACTGGTCATAAGTCGAGGACTACTCAACTGGTGCAGCACCGTTTGCAGAATGGGACTTTTGGCGGGCTCAGCAGGGCAGAGACAGCCTGGACAATTCCTATTGGCTTTTGAAAGCCAATAGAATTAGACTCTATTCAAGAGAGTCTATTCTATTGGCTTTCAAAAGCCAATAGACTAAAAGGGAGTAGCACAGCTAAGAAAAAGGGGGGAAAAAATGGCGGACTGCGTTGTTTGGTGACCCCCATGAAATGGTCGTTCAACCCCAAATGGGGTACTGACCCACAGGTTGAAAACCACTGTACTAGATGATTTTCTGCCCTTTATGGATCTATCAGAGCATATTCTGACATCCCAATCAGGCCTCCCATCATAGATTTCTCGGATTTACATCTGAAAGGACCAGTTCCAATCCAATTCCCCTTTGGACTGAACATCCAGAGTTACCAAAGTAATGGTAGGACTTATGGGTTTCTCAGGATGTCCACTCTCTGAAGAAATTGATTTTGGACAAGCCAAAGTGTCCTCTAGAGGGAGATCATTGAAGAACTTCAAGGAAGCAGTTAAATATTTCCAGGATGGTTTTGTGGGAATGTTACCAAGAGCTCTCATACATTTGAAGTGGGATATTGCACTTAGGAATCACCATCAACACAATGGAAACTCTTTCAGTCTGAGAACAGTTCCAAAACTGTAGATGAGATTACTGACCCTAATGAGTAATAAAATTACAAGGAATTATGGGTTGTGGTTCATGACTTAATACCCTGTTTCCACTCTAAGACCACATTACAGCAGATTCCACTTGCTAATGGTGTTGAATAGTGCTCATCAAGATAGATCATTTATTGCAGGGGTCTTCAAACTTGGCCCTTTTATGACTTGTGGACTTCAACTCCCAGAATTCCTCAGCCAGCATGCCTGGCTGAGGAATTCTGGGAGTTGAAGTCCATAAGTCATAAAAGGGCCAAGTTTGAAGACCCCTGATTGATTGCATTGGTGGCTAATTCCAGCTAATTTGGCAGGGAGAATGCCACTGAGAGAATAATAAGGGATTAGATGACCGGTGATCCAGGAGGCATAGTTCCATAACAAGTTGACGCTACTTATACACTGTACAACTGACTTTCATACCAGATAACTGAACAGTATTCAGTGTGAATGGATAATATTTTGATTAAAATCTATGTAAAGTCAGGATAGAATCAAATCCAAGGACCTTCAGAGAAAAGGCTTCCAATTACTGACAGGAGTGGAGACATGTCTAGTCGCCAGATTGCATGATGGAATCATTGAACACAACAGCAAACTGACTGAGTTGTAAGCAGTTCTCTCAGAAAGAATATATCTGGATATTTTTTCATGAAACCTTAGCAAAATAGGGATCCTCTTGATTAATCTGTTCATTTTAATAGATACACCAAATAACTTTCTCTTTTGATTTCAAGGCAATCTATCAGGGGAATCAATGCTCTAGTGACATCAGGAACAGAAGAATTGCACTGTTCCATTGACACCAGTGCTATCCAAAATAGTGAGAAAAGAAAATGTCAACCATTTAAGGTAGACAAAGTCAGCTTTGGCAGTAAAATAAGCAGATTGTCAGGGCAAAAAACAAGTCCTTATTGTGCAGTAGACATCTTAAAAGAAAGTCATGTTTGGAAATATCCTTCTGCCATTGTTTAAAAGGACAGATCTTTGATCAGAATCAATGAAGTTAAGACAAAAAAACATTCTGGGCAGAACAGTCATTTTATTAATAACAATTATTTCCATCAGTGACAAAGCTAGTTTTCCCCATCTGTGCAAATCCAGTTTTATCTCATTCCACATTTTAATAATAGTTATACAGCATAGAATTTTTAATAAAGTCACCACCCCAAGGTATTTTATCTTTTTTACAACCTTGAATTCAGCTTTGTTTTCCAGTTTTCTTTGATCTTCCCTGTGTTTACCTTTCTGAACCTCACATGGTTTCATCAATTCTCCATTGACCATAATCTCAGCTTTCTATAGCATATAAGTAGATTTCAATCTTTGTAAAAAATTCAGTGTGAAGTCCATAATATCAACAATTTAAACATAAAATCCCAAATCAAAAATATCTAAAAGTATTTATAGCCTATTTGTCATTGCATTGTTGTAAATATTCAATTATGTCCTAGACAATTCTCACACTGAACTTTAGTTGTCTTTTAGATAATAAATCACATTGATCTTCATGGACATGGTCTTGTAAAACCTTTTTAGTTTTTCAGCTAGGATGGATGTAAAAAGTTTGTAGTCATTAAGAGAGGTTGGCTTATAATGTATGGTAAGAATTAAGTCCTGTCCTTCTTTGTTCATCAGAGCAATGTAGGCTTCTTTCCATGAATCAGGCATAGACTGCTCTTGTAAAATAGAATTCATTAAATATTTCATTGAAAATAATAACTGATCTTCAAAGATTTTATGAAATACACTGAATAAATCATCTGGTCCTGGTGCTTTACCTATCTTAGATTTTTTAAATTGCTTCTGTTATTTCAAAGGTTGTTATTGGACTGTTCATAATTTTATTTTGTTCTTCCAATAATTTGGGTAAATTTCGATTTTGTACATAGTCATCCATTTCTTCCAATGAAACCTCTTGTTTCTCCTATAAATTAAATCCCAAAACAGTCTCTGGATATTTTTATTATCCATGTGAGTCTTATTTCCTTCGTGAATTTTCAGTCTGTTAATTTGTACAGCCATCTCCCTGGTTTATTTGTGTGTTCAAAAGTTTTCTGCTTTGTATATTTTAATTTCTTTTCCATGTCTGAAACTGTCAACATTTGTTATTGCAATAATTTTAATTGATTAAATATGTTTTGGTCTTCCAATGATTTTTGCAATTCTTTTTTCCTTCACTTTAATCTCATCTAAAACATGTTTGATTTTTTTCAGCTGATTTTTTTCTTAATCCATGTATCATATTATTTAAAATAACCTCTTATCACAGTTTTATAGGCATCCCAAACTGTTGTCAAATTGGATCCCTTGCCCATATTAAAATAGTCTTGAAGTATTTTCTTACGTTCTTTGTGATTCTTACATTGTTGTGATCTTTGCATGATGGGTTCATTTAACTTCCACTTAAAAGATTGCAATCTGAATTTAAAATGTACCGCCACTGGATCTGAATTTTTTGGGGGGAAGAATGTCCATTTTAATTATCTTATGAGCCAAATTTTTGGTAGCCCATATCATGTCAAAGATCTGTCTTTCTGAAAAAAAAGGTAGAGTCTTTTGTGAATTCAATTTTGTATCTCCATACATTAAGTAGACCTAGAATATCTGTCAACTCAAAAAATATTTGGGGTAGTTTTCTTTGCATTACTTTTATCCCTTTACAAGCAAATCTGTCCAATTATGAGGTTGTTACCACATTCCAATTTCCAGGAATGCACTAATGTTGTAAGAAAAGGAAAGTTACTGTTTTGATTAAATGTTCAAAAAATTTAGCCTTTTATTGATATGGGTTATATAAACCAATAACAATGAATTTTATTCCTTGTAGTTCAGTTTGAACAATTACATATTTGCCTTGGTCATCAGCTAGTAATAGCTGTAGTTGTAATTGAGGAATTATATATAAAACTACAATATTAATATTCTTTTAGTGATTGGCAGAAATATAGTCCAAACCCAATGTTTTGTTGCCTAAATACTTTTTGTCCATCCCTTTTCTTGCAAAGATACTATATCTTGATTCAGTTTTTTCCCAAATAATGAAAAGGTTTTCGGGGATTTACATTAAAAGTAAACCCTGTTTATAACAACAAACTTTCCAATGCTCCAACTATGTTCCCATCTCCATGGCCTGTTCTGTATCTGTATCCAACTTCTTTTGGCATTGTCCATCTTAGGTCTGGGTTCTTTCAGAAATTGGTCTTCATAACTTGGATCTTTTGAAAAATGTTATAGTTCACTTTCATATCTTTCCACAAAATGTGCTTTGTGCTTTAGAATTTAATCTAAAGTGTTGGTTTTGAAACTCCTTCTAGTTTATCCCAATGAAAGAGTTATTTCTGTTGTAAGAGATCTGCCAAGATTTTGTAAGAATTGTAATTGTAATTTCTTTGAAGAATGATTGGGGAATGGGGAAAAGCTAGATTGCTACTAAAATCTGAGCGTGCAAGTTACTTCCTCTTCCTGACACATGAAGGGGTAGAAAATATTTTTAATAATTCACATTTAATACATATACCTCTAAAAAGGATTTAAGTCCTTCCCCTATCAAAGTAATCTGATGGCAGCCACTCCAGTGCACAGAGAGATGCTAAGCTTCGTCCTAGATCCAGGATCAAATGCAGGACTGTAGCAGATTGCTTTGTTTAAACATGGACCAACTCTAATCACATACGAAGTGTGCTGTTGGAATAATGTTACTTTAAATAATCTCTTACTTAAAGCTTTTACTGGCATATTTGAAGAAAATGGAAGTGGTCACAGCTGCCTTACACACTTTTCTCCTCAGTGGAGCGTCTTTGATTCTGAATCTCTGATATAAAAGTACTTTAAGAAAGTCAACTCTGAGTTCAGGAAGGCTTCACTGGGAGAAGTTGCCATGAATTAGCCACAGAAAGAAGAAATCCAATTTCACGGGTAGACACACAAAAATTATAAGGAGCAAGGTAAATAATATGATTTGTAAGAAAGATATTGCACTTGTTTTATTAAAATTAACCTGAATAAATTTGCTCCTGATTCAGTTCTTAAATCTACATGCTGAAAAAGTGACGAACATTAATCCTTATACTCAATATTATGGTCATTGTTTTTAAATAGATAATTATGATTTACCTTCTGATGGACTTTCTTCATCTAAAAAATTGTGGAAGAAAAAGCAACCACACAGCACAAACCTGCATCAAGAAATTATAGGAACAAGATTGAAATAAGTCCTGTTTATATACATCTCTTCCTAAGACATGGTTATGAATACTCAGACACCTGAATTGGGCAATGAGGAATCTGCTTTGGCTTCATTTAACTTCTAAAGTTAATGCTCTTTATATATGACTTGTAAAAATCAATCTAATTATACATTTTTTCCTTTGTTATGAATTGTTGTAAATCCCTTGGGATTCAATTTAGTGATTACAAAAAGTCAACCTTTTAATCTTTCTGCATAAGCAATATTCCTAGCCTGGTGGAAATGTGAACACATTTGCAAAATAACTGAGAATTCCCCCTGCCTTTTAGGGAAATCAATCTGGGTGAGGTGACAAAACTATTAGTTCCAAATCATCTAAAATGAAAGCATGTTCATACCACTTAGGGACATTTTTTTAAAACAAATTTTATTTATAATACAATTAAAAACAAACAAACATTGGATTTGACGTGACATTCCAGTATATACATTCTTATCAGATTATTCCACTTTTTATAATCAATTCTTCATCTCTACATATACATCTAAGTTTTATATACAATACTTGTTCTAAACTAACATATATTTCTATCTTAACATTCATCTTTAATCCCGACAGTCCTCTTCAAATTCCTCCAGCGGTAAAATTTATCCCAGGTTTCATAATAAACTGATCCACATTTATCTTTTAATATCATTGTGAGCCTTCCATTTCCGCACATGCTAATATTTTATGTATTAACTCTTCCTCTGTGGGAATTTCCTTGCTCTTCCATTTTTGCACTAAAGCAAGCCTAGCTGCAGTCAGGATGTGTAGCAGCAGGTAGACTGTTCCCTTGTCATATTTTTCTGTCGTTATTCCCAACAAGAAGAGTTCAGGTTTTAACTCTAAGTCCAGTGTTAATATATCCCTCAACCAGTTTCATGTCCTGTTCCAATACTCACAGATCTTTGGGCATTCCCACCACATATAGTAGTATGAACCTAATGCTGTTTTACATTTTCAGCATAGGGGTAAAATGTTTGAACCCATTTTGGCTAACCTTACAGGTGGGAAATGCACTTAGGGACATTTTCACATTAAGCAAATTAAAAAAAATACAGGTGTTAAAAACTGATTGCAGGCTAATGTGACTTGATGTTCTCGAACAGTACAGAACGTCTGTCTTCCCTAAACAGCTTTTCCACAACAGGGCAGAGTAAACCAACTAGCTGACTGAGAAGGCTATTAACTGAACATTGCTAACCAGCCACTCACTCTGTGTCTGAAGACATTTAGAATAGAATGGAGTGGATGAAATCTGGGGTTCAAAATAAAATAAAAAAAACCCCACCAAAATGGCAGTCACAACCATTTGTGTAGCTATGCCTGTCATCTTCACTTTTATGACCCTCCACACTATGGATACCTCTGGAGGAAATCAAGAAACAAGAAGAATGGAGAAGTTTGCATATAGTCTTTTATAAATATTCAGTACCAACTCTATATAGTGACTGCAGAATCAGAAATGTCTAATCCTTTCTCCAATCACTATTTTTACCAGATCAATGACATATCATCTGAACAGGGAGCATCTGGGATACATCCATTATTTGCTCAAAATATTTACTGTGATGCCTCAAACTGGATATTCAATAATTCTAGATTTGTTTTTTTCCTAAAGTGGCTATGAATAAAAATCAAAACAAAAACGTTTAGAGATTTTAAGCTTTATTTCCAATGTAAATTATGTACAAATGATCACTTTCCATGAAAAATATACTATAACATTAGCAAATAGCAAATAATTTTTTTAAAAAAATCTTGAGTTTTATCAACATTTTAACAATATATTCAAACCAATTGTTAGATTATTGCAAATGTATATTCCTAACCCTGTATCCCTCCACAGCGCTGTATTATCAGTAGCTTTGTTTTCGATGGCAAAACTCAAAAGGAGGCATGTAATTTTTGTTGAAACACTTTCACAATAAATCCAAAAGATCAATCGTTAAGATTTCATTCAACTCTGTATGTGGCATGTGTTGAAGGAAAAGTCTTCATCATGGTTCAGTCCAAGCCGGGGATAAACAAAATAGAGATTGCTTTAGAAAGAAGGTTGCAATTTATTGAAGAGGAGAGCCAGACGGAAAGATGGCTCTGGAAGAAAGAGAGTGAGCACATGTAGGGACTGGGTTTTTATACCATCTGGGGCTCTTGAAATTGTTTCCTGTTCTTGTTTAAGGCTTTGTATTTCCTGTGTCAGGTATTTTGACTTGTGTCCCTTTGGCATCTGTGGGTTAATCCTATTATGTCCTGTTTTAGAGTTTGGGTGGGGTATGTACATTTTAGGTCTTTGTCTTCTTAATCTTCTAGCTGGGGGCTTCCAACCTTCCTGGATTATTTACATCTGCACGTCTATAGAGCTGGTTTCTGTTTGGGGGAGGGAGACTTGGGGGCTATTAAGAAAAACTGGGCGTGCTTTTCTGCCTCTTTTAAGATCCTTTGAGGAAATATATTTTTCTGCCCTTTTAATATTTCTTTCTCTGGGGGGCTGACTTCCCACACATGGATGGTAACATTTTAATATAACATTTGCAGGACTTCTTCTTCCTGAAGTTATTTGTCCATTGCTGCCAGTTAGATTGCCTTAAATGTATCATCTCATGGGACCTAAGAAGTGGGCCTTCTCCATGGCAATGTAATTAGCTCTATAGCTACCTAGGTAGACAGGCTGGTTGGAGGTCTTCTAGTCCCTGCTCAGGCAGGAAACCTTATGCCATTTCAGACAAATGGTGCCCAATCTCTTCTTTCAGTGTTGGAACATTCACAATTTCTGGAGGCAAGTTGTTCCACTGATTAATTGTTCTGTCAGGAAATTTCTTCTTAGTTCTAGTCACTTGTCTCCTTGATTAGTTTCCACCCATTGCTTCTTGTCCTGCCCTTAGGTCAGTAGCTCTCAACCTGTGGGTCAGGACCGCATTTGGGGTCGAACGACCATTTCACGGGAGTCGCCAAACAATGCAGTCCGCCATTTTTTCCCCTTTTCCTTAGCTGTGCTATTCCCTTTTATTCTATTTGCTTTTGAAAGCCAATAGAATAGACTCTCTTGAATAGAGTCTAATTCTATTGGCTTTCAAAAGCCAATAGGAATTACCCAGGCTGTCTCTGCCCTGCTGAGCCCGCCAAAAGTCCCATTCTGCAAACGGTGCTGCACCAGTTGAGTAGTCCTCGACGTATGACCGGTTGAGTAGTCCTCAACTTATGACCGGTTCGGGATCACGGCATTAAAAAGGTTGAGAACCACTGTCTTAGGTGCTTTGGAAACTAGGTTGACTCCCTCTTCTTTGTGGCAACCCCTGAGATATTGGAAGACTGCTATCATGTCACTCTAGTCCTTTTTTTTCATTAAATAAACAGAACTAGGCCTTAATGATTTTGAACTCCAAGCCTGGCAGGAGGCCACGATGCTGCCTTTGGAACTTCCTTTCAATGGAGTGACACAGAAGGTCAGAAAAGGATATCTTTATTAAGACTTCTAAGGTTGCTCACCTATATTTATTCAGACTCCGAACTTGCAAAAAACAAATGCAAATGTGCAACTTGCATTAATTACTAATTTTCTGGTTTGAAATCTTCACCGAATCACAACACACACCGCTACCCACATTTGTAAGTTAAACCCTGACGGAAAGCATGTAGGCCTTCGGATTCAATTTCAACACTTGGCTGTCAACCAAGTTAAGACAGCAGCAGCTTCGCCTGTTTTTATGCGCGGTACACTTAAAACTTCAAGCGCTCCACCACGGCCACCACCTTGAGCTCTTGGGCCCCGATCTGCGACCATCCTCGCTTTGCTCCACAATCCCTTAAAGCAGCTTCGTCCCTGAATTTCCTCCCAGCTGCTCGGAAGAGATTCGGCCAAAGCCCCATTCGGCACCCGTCGCCGCTAAAGAAGCTGCCGCAGGGCCCGCACAAGGCGAAGCGGAGATCCAACGGGGGCGGTGAGGGGGCTTCGCATCGAGGACCGCAGAAACCAGCCGCCTCGGCCTGCAAAGAAAGGGGCGTATTGGAGAGACAGAGGCCGCCAAGGAGTCCGGAAGCGCCGCAGCTCTCCGAAAAGGGCTGCCGGGAGAGGCACCAAATGAACTTCGCGACGCAGCTGCATCCGCAATCACACCGCCTCCCGGCCAAGCCCGGGCTTCCCATTTAAGACGGAAGAGGAGGCTGGCGAGGAGACCGAGCGGCGGCATGGCGGCGGGCGAGAATGACGCGTATCTGGCCTTCGTGGCTTTGCACGGGCCCGCGCTCAGCGCCTCCGCGGTGCCCCCGTACTACTGGCCCAGCCTGTGGCGAAAGCTGGAAAACGAGGTGGGTTGCCAGTCAGGGAGGCGAAGAACCGGCGGGGCTGAGGGGGCCTCTGAAATCTCGGAGGCCCGCCGCGTTCCTCCGATGAAAGCGACGCAAAAGGCGCGCTGGGTCCGCGTATCCGACGGGGGCGAGGAGAGGAGTTCGGCGCCAAGGGTCTTGCGCTGCCGTCGCTTTGGAAGTTGAGGGCAGAGAAAAAAAAGCTGCAGTGCCCGAGTAGCTTCCAGTAGTCCAGTGTTTCCCAAACTTGACAATTTTAAGGCATGTGGACTTCAACTCCCAGAATTCCACAGCCAGCATTGCTGGCTGTGGAATTCTGGGAGTTGAAGTCCACATGCCTTAAAATTGTCAAGTTTGGGAAACACTGCAGTAGTCTTTTGGGGAAGCTTCCGTCTCTTAATAACGTTGGCTGCGCTTCCCGCTCTTTCTTCTCTTCTCAGGGAACTTAAGTAATGTGGAGGTTTTAGTAATTCTCATAAAAAGAAACCCGGGTGCTTGGACTGGCCTGCACTCTCCAAAGTCTCCAACCTTTGGGGCGCAATGGATGAGAAATGCTGCCTTAGTGGCTGAGGCTGCTTACCTCCTCAGGTGGATAGTTTCTTGGGCAACAACAGGTGGCTCAAGGAAAAATAGTGATTCGGAGATTAAAAAAAAAAATTCGCTACTGAACCAATTGAATTAGTTCAAGAATTTGTTGTTGTTTTAACCATTTAATTGTGTCTTGTTGACTTTATGGGCAAGTGCTCTCTAGGCTACCCTGTCAAGCAGAGGTTTTTTTTTATTCTTTTATGTTCAACTTGGTATCAGGTTTGGATACAAGAAGGTGTGTTCTTTGCTTGCCCCTTTTTTTGTCCACTAACCATTCCTAACATCATTCCTTCTCCAATGAATTTGCACACATGACCTGGGGAAAGTAAAATCAGACGCAGTCTTATGTTTTTAGCTTCTAGTGATGTGTCCAGTTTTATACAATTTAACACCTCTCTGTTAGTTACTGTGGCTGTCCATGGCATACACAGTAATTTATGCCAACATCACAGTTCAAAGGCATCAATTCTTCGATCAGCCATTTGTAGTGTCCAACTCTCACACCCATACATCATTATAGGGAAGACTATTGCTCTAACTAGCCTGCTTTTTATATTTCAATCAATATCCCTACTTTTCCAGATCTTATTTATGTTAACCATTGCAAAGCAGCCTAAGGTTATCCTAAATTTGATTTCAGAAGTAGAACTGCCACTGTGAACTATTTTGGATCCAAGGAACATAAATTCTTGAACTAATTCAATTTCCTCCTTGTTGATTTTAAATGTCTCATGTCCATTTGCAGCTGTTATCATTATCTTTTTTCCTGATGTCAAGGCTCAATCCTACTTTTCCACCTTCATCCTCGATTTTCCAGATCATTTTTTTCAGGTCTTTCTTATTTTCAGCCAATAGTATCATCTACAATAGTATCATATGCATACTCAAATTATTTATGGTTCTTCTCCCAATCTTACTCCAATATCAGGCATTTCCAGATCTAATTTCCGCATGACCACCTCAGCATACAGATTGAACGAAACAGCTGATCAAATACATCCCTATCTAACTTCTTTACTGATTCTGACCCAATCTGTGTCACTTTTGCTTTCTGATCAGGGTATGGTGACTGGGTGAGTCTGATCAGGTGAATTGGGACACCAGGATCATGCAAAGCTGCCCATAGCTTATTGTTTTCCTCACAGTCAAAAGCTTTTCTGTAATCAATAAAGCACACATAAAGATCCTTTTGATAGTCACAAGCCTTATCGATAATCCATCTAATACTGGCAATTGATCTCAAATGTCGCACCCCTTTCTAAAGCCAGTTTGTACATCGGCTAACTCTTGATCAATGATATTCCATAGCCTCTGTTTAATGATTTTTAACAGAATCTTGCTTGCAAGAGAAATCAATGCATCGTGCAATAAATTGGAGCAGTCTTTGTCATTCCCTTTCTTTACTAATGGGATAAAAACAAATCTTTTCCAATCCTGAGGCCATTGGCATGTAGCGCATATCTCTGGACATAGGGCAGTGATAATGTTAACTGGCACAGGTCTTAGTAATTCCATATATATTCCATTAATACCTGTGGTTTTCCAGTTCAGCAATTTCTTCATGGCCCATTCTATTCCTTCTTTCAAGATATTTGGTTCTTTGTTAATTGGGCTGTCATCTTTACCATCTTGATGGTAAGTCAAACTAGAGTCCTTTTGTGTACAGTATTCTTTCCACCTGTTCTTGATCTTCTGCTGATCACTTAATGCATTCCTCTTGTGGTCTTTAACATTTCCTTGCTGAGCTGAAAAGCTGGATCTCATCATTGTCACTACGGCAAACATGACCTTAGTATGTCCCTTCCTATCAGTTTCTTCCAGATGTTGACACTGTTCCTCCCTCTGCCTATTATTGTCTTTCCTGGCTTCACATTGGAAAATTGCATTCAGCTTTTTAACTTTATCCTTATTACCTTTGGCTGCCTTTCACTGATCAGCTATTTTGATGGTGTCATCAGAGAGCCACTTGTTTGTTCTGTTTGGTTTTTGGCATGACACATACTTTCCAGCAATTTCCATGAAGTTATCTTGGATCTTTCACCACTGTTCATTTGGGTCTTTCCCTTCTAAATTCAGTAGTTCAGACTTATTCTTAATTTCTATAGCACACATAGGTTAGATGTTGTTCACATTGAATTTTGGGCGGAATATTATTTTTTTTCACCTTGCACAGTTTAAGCTTAAGTTTAGCCACTAATAAATGATGGTCTGAGCCACAATCAGCCCCAGGAGGTGTCTTAACAGATGCAACTGAACCGTTTCAGCATTGCTGGCATAAAATTTCTGTGCTGTCCGTTTGGTGCTGTCCATGTGTATAAAAGTTATTTGTGTTGCATAGGTCACGTGTTCATTATGCTGAGATGATTTTCCTGGCAAACTTGCATAGACGACTGCTAGCTTCATTCCATCCACCAAGTCCAAACTTGCCTACTATTCTTGCGATGTCTCCTTGGCCCACTTTTGCACTGAAATCGCCCACACTTTACAAAAGATCCTGTTTTGATATTTGCTTGAGAGCACATTGAAGCTCGCTGTAAAAAGGTTCAATTTCTTAATCATTTGAGTCTAAAGTGGGGGGCGTAGATTTGTAGTATGATGATGTTGAATGACTTGCTTTGAATCTGGATAGATATTATGCAATGGCTGTATACTCTGTGATTCTCAACACCAGGGATCTTCAAACTTGGCCCTTTTATAGCATGCTGGCTGAGGAATTCTGGGAGTTGAAGTCCATAAGTCATAAAAGGGCCAGGTTTGAAGACCCCTGCTCAACACATTTAGCTACTTTTGCTAATGCAGAATGCAACCCCCTTTTGTCTGATGATACTGTTTCCAGAAAAATAAAATATTGCCCTGCTGCTTGTTGCCAGTTGCGCCCACCGCTTCTCTGGATTCGTCCGCTGCTGCCAGGTTTTCCCTGCTTACTCACCTGCTCATTCACTGGTTGTATGCTCATAGCAGCCGCTACTGGTCCTCCTGTTTTTTTCCTTCTCCTTCTTTTTCCTTCTCCCATCTTCTATCTTCTTCTGCTCCCTCTTCCTCACTTCCTGTCTGGTTGTTTGCTCCTGTTTGCTGACTGTGCTCAGAAGTGGATGTTGAGGTCAGATGCCAAAAAGAGTGATGGTACCCACCTCTTTCTTACTATATTTGTGTTTCGGCGTGTATTATGTTCTTGATTAATCTTGCTATGAAAATTGAGTTGCTTCAAAATGAGTGATGGGAGATTGTGATCTTTGGCTACAAGCAGTGGTTCCCATATTCTGGTTACTACTAAGTAGTTTCTGTTATTGTTACTGTTTTAAAAATATATGCCACCAAGCTCCTTAACAGCAAGGTAGATGTGGTTTGCCATTGTCTTCTTCTAAGAAGATATTTTAATATCCACTTGTATTTCGCACCCTGGTACTTCCTAATGATATTCCCCCTGCAGTACTAGCTAGATCAGATATTGCTTAACTTTTCCAAGATTATCCGTGTTTGGTTGGTGCTCCTACCTGCTCTAATGCTTTCACTTAAAAGGACATTTAACAAGTGCTATATCAATTTGTGCTGTTTGCTCTTCAATTGTCAATTTTTTTGGTTATGATTCTAGGTCTTCGATGCAGGTGAATACTTTGGGATAATGCAGGTGGAGGAAGCAAATGAAGAAAGAGATAAGGAAGAAACAGAGGAGGAACCGAAAAGGAAATCCAATCTTGGCAATGAACTTTGCTACAAAGTGATAGTCACAAATGAAAATGGTCTTCAGGCATCAAATTGTGACAGGTGAGTTTTTGCTTGAAAACATTTTTAAATTTTGTGATATTTACAAAGTATTTGCAGGATCATGATTCTAGCTAGTTTCCCAGTGTAATGGGGGAAAGAAAGGGCCAGGGGCAAATTAGTTCTAATTCTTAACCTCACCTCACTATGTGTGTCTTTGTGACCACAATGAAAAAAATATGCCCCCTTGAATATCACACACATTTTGCCATTTTGCTGCAAACTTTTAGCAGCATGAGTGCTGGGAAGGTCACGTGCAAGCTGAGTGCATTCAGATGTCACACATTTTGCATATATGTTTTTGAATGTTATCTTGCAACAGAATATTTTGTTTGTAGTTAAACCTCAGTATTTTAACACTGATGCTCAAGGCTTTTAATGGTTTAATGCCAGTTATTGGTTAAGAGAGCTTTTCTCCCACTGTGTTAAGATTGGGGGATTAGGCAGGTGCCTCACTTTCCACAGTTGTGGGAGATCCAGGATGTGTCATGTGGGAGAGGATCTTCTCTGTCATTGTGCCTAATGATCCCTATACTCTTTTCTTGGAGAGATCAGATTGGTTCTAATATATTTATTTTTACTGCATTTTTGTAATTTATTTACTTCGCTTTATTTGATTTTTTTTTTATTATAACTTGCAACAAGGTGCTCTGAATTGTAGGCGAATTAGTAATTATTTTAAATATTTAAATAAATATATAAAAAGGCAACCTAAGAGGGATTGTTCATAATGAAAGAAAAAAGGAAGCGAGTCAGCAGGAACAGGGTTATTTCAGTTATGGTACATAGGTTTAGTAGCAAAATAGTTGTTATGTCAAAGTTTTCAGAGAAGGAATTTGAAAGAAGGTAGCATCTCAAGGGCTGCGTTTTGTGTGGTAAGAGTCCTTTTGACTAGTGGTGGTTGAAAGCCAAATGAATGGAAGCAACAGATCATAATTTATAATATCTACAATGAAAAAGAAGGAGGACAGAGAAACAGAGAGTTTGGAAAGTTTACATCAGCTATGGTAAATTTTCCAGTGGAAATGGATAGAAAGGACCATATTCTTGCAGTGAGTCAAATATAGGAAGTATTTTTCTTCTTGAAACTGATTCTACTGGAAAATGCTTTTATACTCCAATAGGAATAAATTGAAATTCTGATTTGGGGATTTATGGATGAGATATGTTTGTTATTATAAAAATGGCTAGTATATTAAATATGTGAAAAGTAAAAAGTTGAGGCTGTATTTTTATTCTACTGCACTGAAGAAAGTTGCAAGTTAATGCTTTTTTTTCTTCTTTTTCTCTTACCCCACAGTTCTTTTTTCCCTGTCTTTTCCCTCCCTCATTTCCCTATTATTTTTGTTACATTTGTATTTTATAGTATATTATGGTAACTTTAATAAAATTATATCTAAGGAATATGGGGATACAGGTAGTCCTCGGCTTACAACAGTTCATGGAGTGGCCAAAGTTAACACTGAAAACAATGACTTATGATTGTTTTTCACACTTACAACCATTGCAACATCCCCATGGTCACGTGATCAAAGTTCAGATACTTGGCACCTGGTTCCTATGACGGTTGCAGGGTCCTGGCTTCACGTGATCACCTTGTGTGACCTTCACACAAAAGTCAATGGGGAAGCCCGATTCACTTAACAGTCTAATTCAACAACTGCAGTGATTCACGTAACAACTGTGGCAAGAAAGATCGTAAAATGGGGCAAAACTCACTTAACACCTGTCTCACTTAGCGACAGAAATTGTGGTCATAAATCGAGGACTACCTGTACTCTGAAGTGGAAAAGAAGTGAAAATAAACTTCCTAATCTTTTGCTTTGCTTTTGGATTTACATCCCAGCAGAAGTTTTTGTTCTATGAGCTTATGCTTAACACGTCTTTATCTTTGTCTTCCAAGCGTTTTTCTTATCGATCATGCCTGGACGTACCGTGTGGAACATGCCCGCCAACAGCTTATGGAGGTTCCTGGCCTGCTTCACAGAATGGCCAACTTGATGGGAATAGACTTCCATGGAGAGGTTCCCGATGAGGCAGTGGTCAATCAAGTCTTAGAAGAAATGTGGAGATACAACCAGACCTATCAGCTGTCATGTGGGGTATGGTCATAAGAGAATGACTGAAGTTGTTAAAGATCTCTAGCTTTGAAGTTGTAAGTCAACTATCTTAGGAAAGTGTCCTGAACAGGGATAGTTCATCTCCTGTGAAGAGATATCTGCAGAATATAACTTTCAGTTTCAGGATTTTAGGTCTGCCTTTCCCAACTTCTTGTCCTACAGTAGAATTGGATCTGCAGCATAACCAGTAATGAATATTGTAGCTTTCCAACCCAATATAAAGAATACAAACCTAACAAAGCATTACAGCTTTATTTAGAGCAGTGGTTCTCAATTTTTTTAATGCCGCGACCCCAACCGGTCGTAAGTCGAGGACTACCCAACCAGTTGTAAGTCGAGGACTACCCAACCGGTCGTAAGTCGAGGACTTTCCCTGCCCGGGAGCACCGCGTAGGCGTGGTGCCGCCCCCTGCGCCGGCCGAGGCGTAGCTGGCAAGGGGCAGCGACGGCGCAGGGTGACCACCAGCTGGCCCAGCCCAAGGGAAGTAAGGCACCCGCTGGGCCCCACGCGCGCCAGCAACCCTCCCTGCGCCCGCCGGCCTCCCACCTCCTACCCCTGGCCCTTTTACTTACATTTTTAGTAATTGCTCAGCAGGGAGGGGTGGAAGCTTCCAGACAGCTCGCCTTCGCTGTAGACAACTTGCAGCACCGTTTGCAGAATGGGACTTTTGGCGGGCTCAGCAGGGCAGAAACAGCCTGGACAATTCCTATTGGCTTTTGAAAGCCAATAGAATTACACTCTATTCAAGGGAGTCTATTCTATTGGCTTTCAAAAGCCAATAGAATAAAAGAGAGTAGCACAGCTAAGGAAAAGGGGAAAAAGTGGCGGACTGCGTTGTTTGGCGACCCCCGTGAAATGGTCGTTCGACCCCAAATGGGGTCGCGACCCACAGGTTGAGAACCGCTGATTTAGAGCTAGGTATTAAATATTTCTCAAAATATAGGAGAAAGTGTGTTGGCTGTCCATTTGTACTTAAGTATGAGCCAGTAGTGTGCTTCAGTTGCCAAAAAAAAAAAAAAGCCAGTGCAATCCCAGAATGCATCAATAGTAGGATAGCATCAAGATCACAAAAAGTGATAGTACAGGTCTAAACTACACCAGACTTGGAATACTGTTTTCTATTCCGTCACCACGATACAAAGAAGATGCTGAGACTTAAAAAGCATGGAGAGAAGAGCAACAAAGATGATAAGGGCTCTGGAGGCTAAACCGTAAGATGAATGATTAAGAGAAGTAGGTATGTCTAGCACAAGGAAGAGAAGAATTAGAGGTGACACGATAGCTCTTTTCTTGTACTTGAGAGGCAATCCCAGAGATAACACTTGACTTATTTTCCCAAGCATCTGTTTGTAGGACAAGAAGCAGTGGGTGGAAACTCATTTGAGATCCTACTTGGAATTTAGGAGAAATCTCTTGACAGAGCAGTTAACCAATGGGACAGCTTGTTTTGCTGGAGGCAATCAAGAAAAGACTTGACATTTATTTGTTTAGGATAGGTAGGAAGAGAAATTTAGCAACACAGTGCCTTCATTTGTTCAACTGGAAGTTCTATTTACAAGGATACAAAGAGTAATCTCAACAGGTAGACTTGGGCAACCTGTCTGAACTTGAAAACTAAACAAGGTCAGGTATGAATGGGAAACCTTCAAGGGATCTCAAAACTACATTGGAAAGCCAAAACATCCTTAAAAAAAGGCAGTAACAATTTTTTTCCATATTCTTGCCAAGAAAAGTACTTGTTCATGAATTCATCAGAAATTACATTTATCTTGAGACTTGACTGTAATTTTAAAAATTGTTGAGGTGAATAGGAAGGGAAACATGTAAAAAAATTCAGTGTAATAGAAGTATATTGTATTGCCATGGTATATTAAGATAGCTTCTTATTGATGCATTTTTGCTTCATATATATATACAGACAGCTGAGGAGAAAGTCCCAGTTTGGTACATTATGGATGAGTTTGGATCCCGTATCCAGCATTCAGACGAGCCCACTTTTGCAACAGCACCTTTGTTTTACATGCCACAACAAATTGCTTATACTATTCTCTGGCCCTTAAGAGACCTTGAGAATGGTGGTAAGTATGTCTGTGTTCCCATTCTGCTTTTGGAGTAGGATAAATGTTCAGTCATATCAACTGCTTGTAAATTCAACGTTGATTCTTTGAAAACTGGACAGGGGGTGCATTTTATGGCCTTCCTTCAAAGCACTGCTTTCGTCATTGAAATTGTATCTGTATATAAGTGTTTGTAGTCCCAATCCAGCACCACATACTGTTCTTAAAAACATACAAAACTCAAAAAAAACCCCACAAAACCCTGGCATCAAATCCAAACATACTCTAGAACAGCTCACATTCACCTGCTTCCAGAAGGTAGCTAAAGTCAAGCTAAACCAAGCTGTAGTGGGAGGCCGTTCCAGAGGGCTAGTGAGGCTACAAAAAAGCAATGTTTCTTTACAAGAGAGATATAACTCTGTATGGAAAAGATGGGTAAATTTTGTTCAGAACAAATATGGGATTAGAAAGTATTATTTAGCTTTTGAATAACTTATTATATAAAGTTGTTATGTTTAGATTTGTTGATTTTATTGTAATGGAGTTAAAGGGGTTTAATAACTTTTTAGGATTTATGTACAATTGTTTGATGTTTATTTAATTTTTTATGTTTTTTGTTGTTTTTAGCTCTGTATTCAGCTCTGGGAAGGGGGGGTTAGTGGGAGGGGGGAGGGAGAGAGGTGGGGAGGGATTTTATTGTAAAATGTTTATAAAAATTTCAGTTAAAAAAAAAAAGCAATGTTTCTGTTTCCCATACCTCCCCAAAGTGGAGAACTGCTAGTTGCTTATCCTAGCAGCTGCAACATTTAATTCCAACTCTTAACTGCATGGAAAAGAATATCCCCCACTAAACCAAGATACGGGTGATAAAATTTTACTCTGCTGGTAGATCTAGAGTGATTTTAAGTCGTTGTTCAAAAGGGGCAATAGCAACATATCAACTTCTCCTTTACTTGAATCCCAATAATTGTATTGTTGAAATGCAGAATGCATCACCAGGAATGCATTTTGGCAACAAAGGATTATGAGTTCAGTTCAGTTCTGGTACTCATAACAAATTTTTACATTCATACACCTCAAATAGATGCCTATTGCATCAGCCAGATTTGGGGGAAGAATCCCAGAAATCTGCTCTTTTGTCTATTTCTAGCATTCACTGCAGAGTTTTGAATTCTTTCAATTCTTTTCTTTGCAGAAGAAGTAACCCGGGATTACGCCTATGGGGAAACTGATTGTTTAATTAGAAAATGTCGGCTGCTGCCATGGAGATCCAGTGAGCTGCTCAATGTCAGCTGTTTCATCACTGAACCCTCAGATGATCACTATCAGGTATAATTTTAAAAAAAAAAGATAGTTAAAAATCCATCTAATTTAGCTATAGATCTACCATAGCTTCATTCTAGGAAGCTCTTGGTGAATTTTCATCTGGAGGTTAAGATACAGACTTTTTTTTTTGTGGTTTCACACGTTCTGTTCTTTTAATTAACAAAGAAAGGAGGTAGTAGCAAACTATTTTGAAAATCTAGTGAAAGAAAACTACCGAAACTAGCTGTCATGAATCAACAATGACTTGAAGGCACAATAATATTTGTGTGTGTGTGTGTGCACACACACACACATACACAAACATACATATTCATACATATATTGAATAGGATTGTGGATGATTTAAAAAAATGATTCAGGAAGGAATTGTAAATTTGATACCAGCATTGCTTCAAAGGAACCATATCTTTTTTCAGACTTCCACAAAAATTCTAGGAGAGAAAGATGCAGCTGCTTTAATGAGCTGGCTTACTAGAGCTCGTTTGATTACTGTAACTCCCAAACCAAACAACATTGTTCTGAGGAAATTATGAAATGTCCTTTGGACAATGAAGATCAGAGGGAACCTGTCAGTGCAGGAGCAGTAGAGATACGAGGGAGGGAGGGAGGGAGGGAGGGAGGGAGGGAGGGAGGAAGGAAGGAAGGAAGGAAGGAAGGAAGGAAGGAAGGAAGGAAGGAAAGAAGGAAATGAGGGAGAGTCAGGGAGTCCTTGAGGTTGTAATGCTCCCTTGCAGCCACCAGGAGAAATTTGTGAATTTTCTCCTCATAGCAACAGCAATCAAGCTGGGCCAAGGAAGGCCAGGGAGATCAAAGTAAACTCTCTACAGGAGTGCAGTAATTATAAATTTATAGAATAAATCCTTTCCCAGGGACAGTGATACAGTTACTAATCTGTGAACACCTAGAAATGAACAAGGTGATTACTAGAAGACGGCAAGGGTTTGTTAAAAACATATGCCAAACCTTATTTATTTCTTTGATAAAATGACTAAATTTATGCATTAGGAAAATATTGTGAACATACTATACTTAGACTTGTGATATAATAAACCACTGCCTGCTTCTTGATAAAATAAAACTATGTGGGATAGACCAGGGATTCTCAACCTTGGCAACTTTAAGACTTGTGGACTTCAATTTTCAGAATTCCTCAGCCAGCTTTGCTTTGCTGGCTGAGAAATTCTGGGAGTTGAAGTCCACAAATCTTAAAGTTGCCAAGATTGAGAACCCCTGGGATAGACAGTACCACCACTAGATGGATTCACAGTTGGCTGACTAACCACACTCAGCATATAGTCCTTAATGGAACTACATCTACATGGAGGGAAGAATGCAGAAGGGTATCTCAGAGTTCAAAATTTAACAGCTGTAATGATTCAGTTAACAACTCTGGCAAGAAATGTAGTAAAATGGGACAAAACTCACTTAATAGCAGCATAAATTTTGGGCTCAATTGTGGTTGTAAGTTGAGGGCTACCTGTATTGGGTCCCATAGTCTTCAACATCTTCATATATGATCTAGATGAGGGGATAGACCTACTTCCCTGGGCATAAATCCTGTGCAATTCTGGATGATATGGGATTGAAAATTCTTCTTAACAAGCATGGTAAAGGTAGTGCAGACATGGATGATATTTTTTAAATCAAAGCCTGGGTTATTTGTTGGGTAGCTTAATTGTAGTCAGCTGCTTTTCTGCCCACATCACTGTTTTGCCCAATAGGCTACCAAGCGAACAGATGGTTCATGCTGAAGTTCAGAAGTGTTTGCTTGTAAAAGATAACATGAAATTAAAACTGATGGGGTTCTTTGTGTATGTATTTTAGGCTATATTAACTGAAAACAAAGAAAAACTGCCAACTTCAATAAAGCTTCCCATTTATGAGAAGAATAAAATCTTCAAGTACGTATTTCCAAATGTTTTTGCTTTCTAGATAAGTATCTAACTGCTGTGGTTTTTGTTTTGTTTTTTTAAAAAAGCAGATTTTCAAAGAATGAAAACCCCTCTGTAACCAGGAATTTATCATCTTTTGTCTTGGATGGGGTTGCACTAACTCAGACAGACCAGGTGCGTAACCTGGGTGTTCTCCTGGTCTCACAGTTCCTGCTTGAAAAACAGGTGGCAGCTAGGGCCTTTGTTCAGCTTTGTGTTGTGTGCCAGTTATGCCTTTTCCTGGATAGGAAGTTTCTCTACTTAGTCACTCATGCTTTGGTTAATTCCTGTTTGGACTGTTGCAACAAGCTGTACATGGGCTGCCCTTGAAAAGTATCTGAAAGTTTCAGCTGGTGCAAAATGTGACTGCATGTGCAATTTTAGACACCCAAAGAATGACGCAGGTAACATCTCTGCTCTGCAAAGGTGCCAATTTCCTTCTGGGTCCCATTCAAGGTGTTGGTTGTCACCTACGGAACCCTATGTGGCATGGGGTCAGGCTACCTATAGAACCATCTTCATCCCATTGCATTCATCCCATTAACATTTTATTACATATTTCCCGGAATCCTTGTTTGAGGGAGATGAGTAGTTCAAAAATGTGAAAAGTAAACAAGCAAGCATGAAAGGTGATACTGTTGCATGAATCTTTGGCGATTTGTGCTGTCTTCCAATCAGTTTTCAAGCCCATTGTGAAGTGTTGATATTAACTTAAATAGCCTGAAATAAATTATTGATTTCCCCCCCACCCCCCACCCCCGTATATCTGCCCAACTGCTAATATTACATGGCCCAAACAGCAACTCAGAAGGGTTGACATATACAAATTATTCTCCACAGTAGAATAGAAATATTTCTCAGGAATGTCAAGTGTGTAACAACTTCTGAATCGCATAATCTCTGTTCATTTCCCCGATCTTTCTGTTAGAGTTTACACCGATCTCCAGCAGGTGCGTCAGAACCTGAATCACCCCCGTTTTGAGTTTACGGACTTGGAACAAGAAGCTGATATTCTCTACATCTTCACCCACTTCAAAGATTACAGGTTACACAGCTATTTCCCTGCAAGTAACAGTTATTTTTACCTATTCAGTACCTGTATATTTGACTAAGGGATCCCCTGTGCTAAATGCCTTCCTGCTTTTTCAGAAAACTAAGTGAAGACAAACCTCATGTGATGGTGAATCAGTTTCCGTGTGAAAATCTCTTGACTGTGAAGGACTGCCTGGCCTCAATTTCAAGAAGAGTTGGAAATTCAGAGGGGCCAAAATGGCTACCTCACACTTTCAATCTTTGTACCGAATTGCCACAGTTCATCAGTTTCTTTCAGCAACGTGAGAACAGGTATAGGGCAGCTAATGCATTTTCATCTTCCCTCATATTAGCGTCCATTCTTACTTTGTAGATGTCAGATGGAGAGAGATAAAAGAAGTCCTTATGACACCTCCAGGAATACTCATTTTTCCTAGAGATGGGAAGTGGGATAAAGCCTCATTCTGTGTGAAAGCTCTGAAGTTCTCCAGTTTTATAACATGGAGAAAGGGACAGAAAATTAGATATAGATATATTTTACATACTTACACACGTATACGTATATATATATAATGTGTACAATATATTTTTATTCATAACTACTTTATAACTCAGTCTTGGCTAGTCCCATCCTGATCCTCTTCTCATAGTTAACGATAGTTGTCCAATTGAATGACGCCCCTTTATTCAGTTCTTATGGGAACCATCATTCCCAGTTCTACTTAGAAGTCTTTATGCTGAAAATTTCCACATGCTGCATAAGCACTATATAAAATTATATTATGCTGCACTAAGTAAGCGGTTAACAATAGCTTTGCTTATTGTCAAACTTAATTCTGTTCTCATAATGGGAACTTGTAATTACTTGTTAGAAACTGAAAGAATGCATTTATATGTATGTGTTTGTATGTATGTATGTATGTTTCTATGTACATATGTATTTAGATTTATACTTTGTCTTTCATTCAGGGGCTCAAGAGAGCTTTCCCCCTTCCAGTTTCCCATATGGTAAATTGGACCTAGAGAGTGACTAACTAATTCAAAGTGACCTTGTGAGATCCATGGCTGAGGATGGATTTGATCCTGTCTCCCCAGTTATGGCCCAACACTTAAATCAATGTGCCATGCTGATTTTCTGCATGTAGCTCTACAGGAATAATTTGGGTTTCTGAATCAAAGGATTGGAATTAAGTAAAACAAACTTTAAACTTGTGACACCATGATAAAAGTTGATCTAAGGAAAAGACGCTTACCGTCAAACATTAAACACAATGCCGTTTCTTCTGTGGATCCTAATCTAGAGGAAAAGACAATCATTGGATCTGCAAACCATGGAATCTGGCTAGAGGTCTGGACACTCACATCACCAAAAGTCTTAACAACATCATCAGACACAGAGAGAGCCTCCCTAAGGTCAGAGCGAAAGACGCTTTTCAAAAAACGGTTACTATTTTACTGAAAAAGTCTGAAGCAAATCAAGTTTTCTCTTTCTTTCACTCTTTTCTTTTGGAGCTGCTTGGACTTGCTGCAGCCTCACAGTGTTTGAAGCATTATGCTTTCTTCATAGTATAAGCCACATCTTTCTGATTTCAGGACAATAAGGGAATTTTGGTCTGGCAGTTTTTCATTCCTTACATTCTTCTCTAAAGAATTTTCAGTGCACTCACTTTCTTCCAAAATACATCATTAAGCATAAATTACTGAAGTCCTCAACTTACAGCCATTGCTTTAGTGACCATTTGAAGTTACAATGGCACTGAAAAAAGTAACTTAGGATTAGTTTTCACACTTAACAACAGTTGCAACATCTCCATGGTCATGTGATTAAATGTCGGTCACTAGGCAGCTGTTTATGATGGTTGCAGCATCTCAGGGTCATGCGATCACAATTTGTAACTTTCCCAGCCAGCTTCCAACAAGCAAAGTCAATGGGAGAACCCGGATTTGCTTAACAACTGTGGCAAAAAAAGATTGTAAAACGGCACATATACTGTAGATACATGTTTATAGATTTAAAATTCTCCCTGAAAAATAAGTTCATTTCTTAGACCTATTTCCCACAAAAAAATGAGGGAAACACCACTGGGGATTGTAGCTAGAAGAAGCAAACAACTACACCATCTTGCTTGAGTTCAGGTTCAGCCTGAACGCCATAACAGGATTCAGGCCTTCTATAGCATTTCTGGTTATTCAGAATGGAGATATACAATTATTATCAGTGTCTCACCCCAGATCTATGAATGACTTTCCCCAGCACTTTCATAGAGATGGTAAATAAGGGGAAGATAACCAAGTCTTGAGGGAACCTATAAGTAAGAACCTATCAAATGGACGTTTCCTTCTCCACTGACTGGGACCGTCTATTCAGAAGCATGTTGCCTCCACCTGCCATCCTTTGGGAGATCCAAGAGGAGGCCATAGTTTGTAGGAGGAGCCCCTAAAAGACCAGGAAAGGTACACTCCCCCACTCCCCACCATCTAAAGCCTTACAAAAGTTATCAACGAGGCATCTACTTCCATCTGACGACTGGAAAGGATGTTTGTAATATGCTTTGAGGAGATGCTATAATTGGTGTCCCCTCCTGCACCCTCTTCCGAGAGTGGATTTGCACTCTGATAATAAGGTTAACATTACTATGTAAACAAGCACAGGCTGGACCACAACCTCAAAAGACACAAGATGTAGGAGATGACCAGACTAAGCCCAAGGAAGGGTGAAGCGCGTCATCCATTTGTTGTCCCTTCACGCCCACAAGAGATCTAAGTCCAGCCCTCCTTGTCCAGCCCTCCTTGAATTCCATTGATTCTTATGTAGCACCGTTTTGACTTGACCATTAATTGTTCAGATTTTTGTAGAGAGATAACATAGAATAAACTTATACTTATTTGAACAACCCTGGTTCCTGATTTCTTGTGTCTGACACAAACCTCCTCTATCATTGAAGGACCAGAAAAAAGCAAGTAAGAATCTTAACAGTTTAGAATTAGCTATACAGAAGCTCGATTTGAAAACAAAAATACAAGCTGTAACTTTTGTGCTTTCTTTTTCTTAATAGTCAAAGCTCAGAAAGATTTGTTCCTTCATTTAGTCCTGAAGGAGCCAGGAAGGACATGAATGAAGCCTCTGTGTGGCAGAGAGAGAACTAGAGAATACCCTCTTCATATCAACTGATTTCACAGGCCAAAAGGAGCAAGATATTCCCCAAACTACATAGATTCCGCCCATCAATTAAGGTTACAATGACATTAGCAATTCTGTAAGGAAACTGTGATGCAAACAAGGCTTTTCCCACCAGTCATTTTCTAAGAACAGGGAACTGACAACCTAAAACAAGGTCAGTAGATGGCAATTCACTGATATATCAACAGTGGAAAAGTAAGAGTATTTGCTGCCAAGAGGCACTTTCACATGAACTCATTCATGTTTCATCTTCCTCCATTGACACTCCAGGTGTCTCTTCTGCTGCTTCATCTCCCAGAGATTCTGAATTAACCTAAAATGCATTTACTTTCCTGGGGCCATTTGGGAGATGTCATATCAAATGCCCTAGCCATTTCTTGATTTAAGGTGCTTAGAAGAACTGCTGGTCAATTCTCTGGGAAACTCCCCTGCAGGTGTCTGGGATGGCCTGCCCACCATTTGGAAGGAGTGGCCAGTGGTCGTACCTGACCATAATCGATCTGGAGCTGGATCGAACATCTGCTGTAAAGGAAAGGAATTTTTTAGCAATTGTCTACCTGTGTGAATCAGGCCATTTTTAGTATAAGCGCAGGATTATCAGGGAGATTATGAACTGAGCCTTCCCACAACCAGCATCCAGGGCGTGGAGATTGAAATCCTCTAGCTCCCACAACTAAAGTTAACTCCAGAACCAGTCTGAATATAAGGTTTAGGAATTCAAACAAGATTCTTGAAATTTTCCAGTACACTAACAGGATCACTGTTTTGTCTTTTTTTCCCCTCAACAGGGGAAAATATACAGGCTTTCACTCCCTGCCCTTCCTAGAGCAAGCAAGGTATTATTTTTTTTTATAGCCATCACTTCTATTGCCGTACTGCCCACCCCTGGATTCAAGGTTACTAAAGAACCAAAAGGGCAGATATGACATTTTGTATCATGTCATACACTGATAATGCTTACATTATCATATGTTTTATAAAATTTGCAAAATTCCACAGGAGTCATGGGTCCCGGATTTTGGGTGCATCCTGTAACTTAGCCCATCTGAGGTATCTTGGTTGAAAAGGTTTTGCCCTAAGGTACATCATTACACCCAGTTAAAGATTACATAAATCAAGGTACAGGTAGCCCTTGACTTATGGCCACAGTTGAACCAAAAAACTTTGTTGCTAAGCAAAACAGTTAAGTGAGTTTTGCCCCACTTTATAACCTTTCTTGCCACAGTTGTTAAATGAATCACTGCAGTTAAGTTAGTAACACAGTGGTTAAGGCAATCTGGCTTCCCCATTGACTTTACTTGTCAGAAGATCATAAAAGGTGGTCACATGACCCTGGGACACTGTCACAATCCTAAATAAAAACATTTGAATTTTGATTACGTGGCCAAGAAGATGCTGCAATGGACATATGTATGAAACTTTGAACGGTCACTAAATGAATGGTTGTAACTCACATTCTACATATATTATGTAGATGCCATTCATTTTTCTCTTTGTTTCCAAATTCTGGGTTTTTTTAATTAATCTGGGAAATTGACACAATTTACCTATTTAGAGAGTTTCTCATCTATCAAAATGGCACATCTTACAGATTTTAAATTTCTTAAATTTCTTTAGAATCTGTAGTAGCTATTTTGTTTTGAAGAGTTGGTTCAGAATTACAAGCTATCTTGCGTGCCCAAGACTGGCTGTGTTCTAAGCAAAATTGATTTCTATCTTTTTAAAATAATTTCTGCTCTTTTAGGTAGTGTCTAAATATATTGAAAATCCGGTTTTGTTTCATCTTGAAGATGTGGGACTGGTTAAATTTGATGTCCGATATATCGTGCTGCTGAGATCAGTTAATCCACTCAAACTGTATGTTTACGATGTGTTTTGGCTCCGATTCTCAAATAGGTAATCATCATCTTCTACAGGGATATTAAGCTTGTGGAATTTCTGAATTTCATAAACTAACTTTGTGTCCCTGTCTATTCCCCCCCCCCTTTAAGGCCATTTTCACTTGATGATTTAGACGATTATGAGAAGCATTTTACTGTTATGAATTATGTTCCTGGGATATCTTTAAAGCAAGTGAGTAAATGATAACAGAAAAATGAGATGTTACTTTGGAATTGTGATTACATTGGTATAGCAGGATCCATGTTAGGGTGAAGGTGAGGCCGTAGGACTGCATCAGCCAGGGTTGCTTATGGGTAGCCCTTTTGAAGATAAACACTTCTAAACTTAAATGATTGCCTAGAAGTATCCATAGTGCTGCTTTTATTTTTTGAAGATACAAACATGTAAAATGCCTACCAAAGCTTTAAAAAATATCATTCCAGGAATTATAGTTTGTATTGTTTCTCATAACAGAACAATATGGATTGATGTTGAGTTAATCAGTATGGTAAACAAGTTTTAATATATGTCCCAAGAAAAAATTGTTTGAAGCACAGTACAGCTAGTCTGTAATGAGCCAGTCAAATGTTATGATGAAAAGAAGGTTGATTGACCAAGCTGAGTTTCTTTTCCTTAATCTTCAGACAAGCTGATTAAAATTAATACATTGGGTAAGCATTTCAAAATCCACCATGAAACTCATTGCTTGAAATGTTGGCTATTATTCCTATGTCTCTCAGATTTTTATAGAACAACCAGTAGGGAAAGAAGAAATTCTACTGTAGAAGGTTAAAATAAAAGCAAAGGAGAAAATATATAATCAAATGTTTCTTTTTTTTTTAATTTGCAGATCCATTATGATGAATTTATTCCACTTTTTGAGAAGCAGTACTCAGAATATTCTTGGAAAACTGTTGAAGTAAGTCGCTCTTGCTTCTATTTGCTGTTATAAACCACTTAAAATCTAATTTGAATAAAAAATATTTTTTAAAAAAACTTAAAATTTTAAAAAGTAGTAAACAATAAGCAAAAATTAACTTTTAATTATTATTTCAACTTTAACCACAGGAGGGAGCAAAAGACCAATTTTTTAAAAAGGGACCCAAGTGATACAATATTGAAAAAAATAAAAAAAAAATCAAATCCTGCATACAAGGAGAAGGATCCCAAGGCTACAAAGTTAGAAAAAGGGCTAAAAATAATACCATACCTTGAAACTACAAGAAGAAAAACATAGTCTTGGGGAAAAAAATAGAGTGGTTGTTTTTTTTTTTTTTTTGTGTCTAGAGCAAAGTCTTGCCACAAGATTCACCCAACAAAATGATAAACTCCCAACTAAAGGAAGAAGTCTGTATGACTGTATCCAAACTGAACACAGCAAGGGAAAAAAAAACTGCCAAAAAAGTCCTTTAGTTAGTTAGATAGATGACATGTCACTCATAGAAAAAAAATATCAAGAAAAATGACCCTGCTGTCTAATCCAGTCCAGCCCCACTGGAGCTAAGCAGTTGATTTCATATCCTCCCCTGGACGAAAGCAGACATCTGAAAAAGGGATGTCATCAAGGGTTCCAGTGACAGGAAGAAAAATAGCCCAGTTTTCCCCAAGAAAAACATGTTGTGTCTTGGTGATAGGAGACTCACTTCTCAGAGGAAAGGAAATAGCAATTTATAAACCAGACAATCAATCAAGGGAGATATGTTGTTAACGCACTAGCAAAGATCAAAGCTGTGACTGAAAAGCTTACCAAAATAATCAAGCCCACAGATTGTTATCCCTTTCTCATCTTTCATGTGGAGATGAATGATATGACAAAGAGCCTGAAAACATTATCAAGAGACTATAAGCAGCACAAAAGCCAAAGAGTTAGGAGCACAGGTGGTGTTTTCATTCTGCAATGGAGGATTTTAGAAGTAAACCACTGGTTTAAGGGATAGTGCAGTCGAGAGATACCCATCCTATCTCAAGTCATGTTTTAACCATTCTTAGTTTTTAAAAATAAGTGCTCAGGTGCATCAACCTCTGCATTTCTTGTTGTCCTTAGGAAGACATCTTTAAGGCATTCGTTGAGTTATTCCGAGCAGCTTGTGCCAAACCGGCACCCCTTGGCATCTGTGATTATCCGTCTTCACGAGCTATCTATGCCATTGACCTGATGCTGAAATGGGAATCATCTGGTAATGGTGAGTCTTAGTGCCTGTTTCATTTCAATCCATCCATCCATCCATCCATCCATCAATCAATCAAAACAGAGCTGGAAGGGACCTTGGAGGTCTTCTAATCCAGCCCCCTGCTCAAGCAGGAGTTCCTATATCATTTCAGATAAGTGGTTGCCCTGACTCTTCTTAAAAATCTCGAGTGATGAAGCACCCACAACGTCTGAAGGCAAGCTTTTCCACTGGTTAATTGTCCTCACTGTTAGGAAGTTTCTCCTTAATTCCAGGTTGCTTCTCTCCTTGATTAGTTTCCATCCGTTGTTTCTTGTCCTGCCTTCTGGTGCTTTGGAAAATAAATTGACCCCTTCCTCGTTGTGGCAGCCTCTCAAATACTGGAATACTGCTATCATGTCCCCCCCACCCCCCAGTCCTTCTTTTCTCTAGACTGACCATTCCCAAATCCTGCAATCATTTGTTCATATGTTCATTTTACCCACAGACAGTTTGGGAACTATTCTGAAAGTCAACAAAGTCTCAAACAAAAATAAAGCAGGAATGTAATCCAAGCAACTGGGAGGTAGTTTTATCTCTGTTATTAGTAGGTGGTATAGTACAGATAGTCCTCCACTTACAACAGTTCATTTAGTGATCATTCAAATTACAATGGCACTGAAAAATGTGACTTATGACCGTTATTCACAGTTATGACCTTTGCTGCATCCCCATGATCAGGTGATCAAAATTCAGATGTTTGGCAACTGGTTCATATTTATCATATTTGTCCCGGGGTCATGGGATCCCCTTTTGTGACCTTCTGACAAGCAAAGTCAATCAGGAAGCCAGATTCTCTTAACAACCAGGCGACTAACTTATCAACTGCCATGATTCACTTAACTGTGGCAAGAAAGGTCGTAAAATGGGGCAAAACTCACTTAACAGATGTCTCACTTAACAACATAAATTTTGGGCTCAATTGTGGTCTTAAGGACTACCTGTATTGTTGCAGCAGATGAGGGGGAGGGACAAAATCCTTTGATTCTTTTTTTTATGGGATTTGGTGGCCTTGTCTTGTGGTTTGTTTGGTTTTTTGCCTTATTCGCCAAAAAGCTGGTTTTAAGGGTTTTAGGGGGATGGCATTGTATTGCAAACAAAATGGCTTAGATCTTGGCGAATCCCAGCCATGATATTAATTTTTGTTCATAAAGTATGACATTTTGGAATAGAATTTCTTTAAACTGAGCTAAAGGTTTAATATATCTTTATTAATACCACTTTACAGTGCCTTGATAAGGCCACACCTGGAATACTGCATCCAGTTTTGGTCACCACGATGTAAAAAAGATGTTGAGACTCTAGAAAGAGTACAGAGAAGAGCAACAAAGATGATTAGGGGACCGGAGGCTAACACATACAAGGAACGGTTGCTGGAATTGGGTATGTCTAGTTTAATGAAGAGAAAGATGAGGGGGGACAGGATAGCAGCCTTCCAATATCTCAGGGGCTGCCACAAAGAAGAGGGAGTCAAGCTATTCTCCAAAGCGCCTGAAGGCAGGACAAGAAGCAGCGGATGGAAACTAAGCAAGGAGAGAAGCAACCTAGAACTAAGGAGAAACTTCCTGACAGTTAGAACAATTAACCAGTGGAGCAACCTGCCTCCAGAAACGGTGAATACTCCAACACTGGAAGTTTTTAAGAAGAGACTGGACAACCATTTGTCTGAAATGGTATAGGGTTTCCTATACCATTGGACTAGATGACCTCCAAGGTCCCTTCCAACTTTATTATTATTATTGTCGTTGTTGTTGTAAAAGATTGTACGTGAAAAGTGTTTTCATTGACCTTTGCAATGAACAGCTTGGAAAGGAACTGTAGGAACTGCCTGGCCCCCCATCCTTTCTCCTAGGCATAAAAAGTATAAGCACCCCAGCTGACTGGCACTGTGGATGGAGAAGTGCTTCAGGTCTGAGCCTGGGTTGCTTCAAGCTTAAAGCACTTCTAGCAGCTATTTTCTAAGATGTCAGGAGAAATTCCTACTTCTTAGCTATCTCATCCTTCCTACACAGGTAAGTCCTTGACTTACGACCAAAATTGAGCCCAAAATTTCTGCTGTCAAGTGAGACATTTGTTGAGTGAGTTTTATCCCACTTTACGACCTTTCTTGCCACACTTGTTAAGTGAATCACTCTAGTTGATAAGTTATTAACCTGGTTGTTAAGTGAATCTGGCTTCTCCAGATTGACTTTGTTTGTTAGAAAGTCGCAACAGATGATCACGTGACCTTAGGACACAGCAACGGTCACAAATATGAAGCCGTCGCCAAGCGTTTGAAGTTTGTCAACATGATCATAAGTCACATTGTAGCTCTGAACAGTCACTAAACGAACTGTTGTAAGTCGAGGACTACCTGTAACATGAATCAGAGAAGTAGCCAGTGTGGGTATTAAATATTAGGGCTAATGCAATTTACTGGTCAGTCCTAGAGGAGATCAACCCTGACTGCTCTTTAGAAGGCCAGATCCTGAAGTTGAAACTCAAATACTTTGGCCACCTAATGAGAAGGAAGGACTCACTGGAGAAGAGCCTAATGCTGGGAAAGATTGAGGGCAAGAGAAGAAGGGGACGACAGAGAATGAGATGGCTGGATGGAATCACTGAAGCAGTAGGTGTGAACTTAAATGGACTCCAGAAGATGGTAGAGGACAGGAAGGCCTGGACGAATGTTGTCCACGGGGTCACGATGGGTCGGACACGATTTTGCAGCTAATAACAACAATGCAATTTAGAGATAGGCATTTCCTGTTCCAGGAAAGGTGAAATGGAGGGGAAAGGCTTCTTTCTGCAGCGCTGAGACAAGAGGCGGGCCTGGAGGAAAATTGATTGGGGGCCTTCTCCCTCAGTGAATTTCAGAGGAAGGCTCCATCTTCTGGCGATTAGGCCACTTCCGATTAGGTCCAGTTTCTGCTTCCTTTTGCTTTTTTTTAACAGTTCACCTGGTATTTTTGTACTTATCTGTCTTCTAGGGAAGCAACGTATGCAGCCCCAGATTCTAGAGGTGAATTTCAACCCTGACTGTGACAGAGCATGCAAATATCATCCATCATTCTTCAACGATGTTTTCTGTACCCTGTTTTTGGATGAGCCCAACAACTGCCACGTGACATCTATTGTTTAGGTCCACATAGCATAATTTGGCTAATGTGTATTTCAGAATGGTATATTTCAGTTCTGTGAGCTGTTTAGTGCATTTTTTTTTCCTATAGCATCTGTCAGAACAAAATGTCCCTTAGGTCATATAGAATATATGCATAATTTACATGCAAGAAGTAATTTGCTTTGGAAAATATTCGCATCGGTCTGCTCAATTTGTTACAGCTTGCTTTAACAAAGTATGCTTTTACATATATATTGAAAATCACTAAGCTTTACTTGCAAATCAGTTTCATTTTTGGCTATAATTATCATGTTTTTAATTTTTCTGTGGAAGTATACCTGTACAGCATTTTTAAGCTTGCTTTACTTTCTTGATATACTGCATTTGAAGTAATTATTTTATCCAACAGAATTATGTTCCCACCTACTTCCTTTAAGATGCTTTGCTTAAATAATGATATGAAACTTACCATTTCAAAAGATTCAGCTGGCTCATATGATCCATGATATTTCATTATTTTTTTAATAAACAATTATCAGCAAATTATTAATAATTTGACTTTGAGGTAACATCCAACATTTGAATCTCAAGATAAATATGCACCAGGAAAAGTCGGAGAGGGTTCATTGCACCATAGATGTTTCTTTGAGATGTTTCCATTAGCATGAAAGATTCAAATCATGGCTCAGCTACCAAAACCAATTCTTTTTTTCATTTTGAAATATTAAATATATGCATTAAATCTACCCATCATCTTTTAATTAATGCCATTGAGAGCCAGTTCTTCTCATGTTCTTTACAGTTGTTTCAGGACCACTCTGAGGAAGTAAAAAAAGGCCTGTGATCGTGCTTGGTCTGTTTTACAATTGGTAAAGCACAAATTCTTCAAACTCTGAATTATTTTAGGATCTTTTTTTTTCTTTCCAAAAGAACCTGAATGTAGAATTCTGTCTTCTGTCCAGGACACACATTTTACCACTTCCTAAGAAGATGATTTAGATCCTGTTTAATTTATCGTATAGGAGCTGTGCCAACATCTTGGCTTCAAACAGTTCATGACAGCTGACCTATATTGGGTTCCTTTACTAAATAGAGACTTGCTATTTAACTTTCCTAGGTGTTTGAAACAACCTGGATTGGATGTTACCACTTGAATCATATAGCATAAAGCTCAGATCCTTAAAATGGAATCTTCTGTATTTTGTGGTCTTGATAAACCAGATGAATTGTTTACATCTCCTTAGAAAACTCATGACTTTTGTTTGCATACTGTTGCCCCATAAGGAGAATTCCTTGTAGAAATAGTCAGTGCTTTCATGACCTCTCTCATGATGACATTTTCTTAGAGAGCGGTATTCATTTAACAATCACCATGTTACTAAACAACTGCTGCAAAAAAATAAAATCAAGCATGGTCATGCGTTAAGGATTGGCATGACTTACAATTGTAATTCCAGACTCAATTATGGCCATTAGTTGAGGACTATGTCTAAGTGCCCTGGGTGCAACCCAAAACATCTGAAGCACCACTTGAACAGATCAGCAAAATCATCAGTCAATTGCAAAAGGCAGCTTTACTTGGAAGAGCTTATATCCTATGACATGTTTAACACCGTCAAATAACAACATCTACTTATCAATAAATGGATGAAAATGTCAAATCCAATCTAAACATCAACTAACAATAATAATTATTGAAATGTATTAACTTTATCCAATATTGCTGCCCACTTTTTATTTTTATTTTTCCAGTTTGCTAATCTGTCACATTTATTTGAATACTCTTGAGACAGGAATTGGTCCTGCAGAATTCATTAACCTATCAGTCCAAACCGTTAACCTGAAAATCCTGTATTATTACAATAACAGAACACAATGTTTAGTAAAGTTACTATACTGTTTTGTAGGTAATACACGCACTAAAACATGTAATCAAATACAATATGAAAATCAGACCCATATCGTAGCAAACAATACTTAATACATTTAAACATAGAATTAAGCTTTTTCCAAGGAAAGCAAAAGCACATGTATTTACTGGCCGTAAAATACTTAATACCTTACTATTAAATGCTTCATCAGTTTTTTTAAATCAACCTCTGAATTACGGCAAGTACTGCCTGCAGGATTATAAAAAACAAAGGGTAGGGATGAATGTAGCAGACTGCTACTACAATCTAAATTTGCAGTTTAGAACTATTCTTATTAAGTGAGGCTTTTAATAATAGACTGGCATATGAAAAATCCATATTAAATACACATGCTATTAAGGTGGGTTGAGTTGCTGCTATTGCTACAAAATAAACTTTTCAATGAATATGAGGCTGAATATTACTGTCCACAGTAATGATCCACATTCTTACTGAATGGTGAGGTGGCATCTTGGGTTTGGTGCTGTTGAACTTGATAGAAACTTTGAGAATCTTGAGGTTACCATCTCCATCCTTCTAATATAATAGACTGTATTCAAGTTTCAATGTGACTTCTTCCATGTGTCAGAAATCCCAAAGCTTTCATAACGCACTATTCAGTATCACTAGATTAGTTGTGGGATTTCATGATTCAACTGCGATTTCAACATAACAAAAAGACCCCATCAAATGTGACTATAATCATCTTCCTTAAATTCAGTTTGTCTCTTTTATGGCAAGATAGTAGTTACAATTCAAACACATCACATATATTTAATTACAAAATGCTACCAAATGAGGCTTTGTAATCCGAATCCTGTATTTAAAGTAAATTATCAAGTATCAGTCATACAAATATCAGTACTCTCAGCAATGGCTAAATATTTACTTCTCTGGCTTTTTGGTATAGTTACATAATTTGTAACCAAAATCATTGAAGATAAACTGAGGAAGCAAATGTCTACATGAATAGCAACCCTGGACTTTTAAAGTGATTAAATTTATTATTTGATCTTATTTTTATGTGCTGGGATCCTGTGGATTCTTTTTCCCTGTGTGTAGATTTCATAAGTATTGTGCACACACACACGCACACACACACAGAGAACAGAGGTAGAATCCAGTCAAGTCAAAAGAACTTGAGAAACGAAGAGAGATGAGATCCTTTGTTTCCCAAGAATAGAAAATGATTAGTGCTTGCACTTAAAGCGGTATACAAGTCTAATAAATAAATAAATAAATTAGCTATAGCCCTCAACTTATAACTGTAATGGAGCCTGCCTATTATCACTGTGGCAGTTGTTAAGCAAGTCATCCATGTGATTGCCTTGGACTTTTCCCCATGCCCCTTCCCGGGTCACGCTTCAGTCCATTTCCCTTTTCCGAAGATCACCTTCAGGAAGGAGAAGCTGCTCACAGCCTTCCTATAACTACAAAGAAGTAGCTACAATTCTTCAGCCATGATAAATTGTGACCACTCCCAAAATGGTAGTCACTTCTAGGACAGCACCCTGTGACCCTCCACATAGGAAAGCTGTGGGGCAGATTAGCTGTTTCTCTTTCCCAAAGGCAATCTCTGAGAATATTGTATACGTGACTAGAGGGATGCTGTACAGCCGTAACTTTGTGTGCAAGTTGTAAATGCCTCTGTTCAGTGCTATCGTAATTTTGAACAGTTGCTGAATAAATGGTTGTCATTGAAAACTACTACTTGTAGATACTTTCCTCTGTTTCCATGTTTATGGAAGGACTTTGGTTAAGAAGAACCTCTCTTAGAACTACAGGATCAAAGCACTATAATACTCTGTTTTGTTCTGAAAAAAGTCATCTGGAAATCTATTTTCCCAATGTTTGGGATTTCAAAAAGCATCCATCTTGTAGACCACTGAGGAAACAGACTGCAGGGTCTCAGAGGCTTTCAACCAGATGCAGCTGACCTGTTTTTCCAGAGGCACACAGCAGGTGATGTGTTATGTTTGTTCCTATATTTTCTGAAATCTGTTGGGAATTTAACATCCTACGTGTACATCTTCGTCCTTCAGAAAATGAATCCTAGAGGAAAAGCTTGCCATTTTCTCAAATGTCTATCACGTTGCTCAAGGCTACTGAAAAACCAACAGTCAACAAAGAGGCAAGTAGATGATCTGACTCCCCATTCTCCACTTTGATCTAGATTCCCCAGTTTAGCTTGTTAAACTGGAATGGGTGGGTGGGAAGAGACAGGTCACAGCTCATCTCTGCCAGGCCATTTGCATGAAAAGAAAAGATGAGAAAAAGATAAAAAAGGGAAGTTGGGAAATGGTAGGGAACCCTCTACCTGTCAAAAAAATTGAAAGACAAGAGTTTAATCTGTTGGGTACATAGCTGGAAAACATGTACCCCATTTAATATACAAAGATTTTGCCTTCATTCCTTTCATGTAACCCCCCCCCCCTTAATATTGTAATGAAATTACCTTCATTAATAAAATTGTAGTTTTTTTCCAACATGTTGGACTTCAGTGAGACCTCTGCAGGAGCTTGTGGGAATATCTGCTGTAGAGTACTGCAAGAAAGTTGCCAAAGTGTCTTGGAGAATAATTCCCCTTCTACCTTGGCCTTTTGACACAAATATTACCAGCCAAACATCCATTCAAGTGGAATAAAAAAAAAGGGGGGGGGAACACTGTCTCTCTGCCCTTTTATCCCAAGAGAGAGGTTATATGAGGACAGGGTCCCAAGAACAGCAGGGGACCCAAAGCCTACAATCCATGGTATTTTAGGTTTGCTATGTACATTGATCATAGAATGATGGTTCCCGCAGTAGGGAAACTGGTTCAAGACTGAGGAGAAACGTCTTCAGCCATGTGCAGTACTGCAGGCCACTTTAGCTGACTGTGTTCAGCAGGTCAGCGGTTCAAATCTCACCGGCTCAAGGTTGACTCAGCCTTCCATCCTTCCGGGGTAGGTAAAATGAGGACCCAGATTGTTGGGGGCAATGTAAATATATATATACATTGCTTACTGGTGTACACCGCTTAGAGAGTGCTTGCACTTAAAGCGGTATGTAAGTCTCAGAAATAAAAAATAAATAAATAAATAAATAAATAAATAAATAATGTTGGATCCTGCAACATTATTCTGGGACACGTATATTTGCCTTCATTCGTAAGGAACTCATTGTCAAAGTATATGTGTGTAGTTTATGATACATTCTTCTCCAGGCCTCCGCAGCCATCCTCTACCTGTAACATTGCCACAACTTTCCTAACTCCCAGCCTCTTTGAAGGAGGAAGCTTTGGGATGGCATTTTCAACACAGAACTTGAGGTCACTATAACATGAAGAAAAACACCAATGTTTTTATGGTACTTGATGCCTGTCCTTAAGAACATTCCAATCCCCCAGTTATTGTTCACAGTGGGACATTTAAGGAGTTTTAACCTTTGATTCTGTGAATGTTTGTACTAACCAAGTATTTGTTCAAGCTCCTCCTCTGACTTCCATGCCCTTTCCTTCAAAATAAAAATCAAACACTTTGGTGTTGGAGACGGCTGAAGATGGTTGCTGAGCATGAGGCCAAAGGCCACATCCAGCAAAGTCTTGTCTACCTGAAATAAAAAACGGAGATTATGATGTGCACTTTTGTGGAAGGTCTTCCCAGCCATGCTAATACCAAAGGACATCCCAGAAGTATTGGTGAATGTGGTGCCTCAGTAACATCCTCATCTTTTGTTCCCATGGTGCCTATCTACAGGAAGAAAAAGACATCAAGGAACATGGATTCCACACATGAATCCATGGCTGGTGGGACTTTGCTGTAAGGGCAAAAGAAGGAAGAGACATCAGCACTTGATTTTGTCAACAAGGATGGGTTTCATTCTCCCAAGAGAATAGGATCCACAGGGTCATCTGCTAGGAGATATGGGGAGATCAAGCTATCCTCTATAAAAGAAACATAATTTACCTAAAATCATATGCCACAAGAAATGCAGCTAGTGCTGCAAAGAAGCTGTTTAATTTGTCTTCCAACATAGTCTGGCAGGAAACAGGAATGGAGAGAAGCAGCAAATTCAGTCAACCAGGTTGCTCCAGACCTTTTTTTTTTTCCTGTCCCAGCCCCTTTTGACCTGCTATTCTTGTCCAAAGGAAAATTAACCCCAAGTTAAGAATCCCTTGCATGAGTCTGTTTTTGAAAGTTTCATTCTGTTTCTCTGTCAAATTTAGTTTTTGCTAACTCTTCTGAAAATCCTGAGGTAGCTTTTCTCCTTCCTACTAATGTGGAATAATAATGAACAATCACTAAATAATGATGTGTCTGCATAATTACTGGAATAATGCTGTGTAGCAGTATGTGACTAACCTAATGCGCATTGCACTTGGATATAATATATGTAGCAAACTCTCTCCATTGTATAACCGTGGGAAATGGACCTAATGTATTACAATGTGTATTACAATGTATATCCCTTTGTTCCTGAGAAAGGGAAAGTATAAAACTAAAGTTTGAACCCGCCCTCGGGGTTCAGAATTGCTTGTTGCTATAGCTTCTGAACCTGCGCAATAAATCTCTCTGCTAAACCCTCTGGAATTCCTAAGAGTCCTTTCGTATTCCACAAGACTACTGCTACTTTCCCTCCATCCTCTTTTGCTTGACTCCAATTGCCACCTGCCTCCCACTTATTTATAAGCACAGCAAGGTTGTAGACATCTTTGTTTTGGGGCACTGTTCATTTGCCTCTTCTGCTTCCGCTGAAACAGAGCAGTGATTGCACTGAAGGCCTGAATAATAATATTTGGCTGGTGGAACAGAAAAGAGTCAGCTTGTAAGTCAAGGAGGCTTGTGAGGTGTTTTGTCCACAATAGTTTCTCTTTCAGAGAGGAAGCTTGAAATCCTTCTGGGACTCTCCTTCCTGAGGAATCTTTTGTACCAAACTGAGATTGGACAAAAGAAATTGAGATGAAAACATGACAGCAAAGCCCAGCCATGGGACTTTTTACATCCAAGGGGTATTGTGTGGTTGCTGTAAGTCTTTTTTCTAAAGAATGTTCCTTTTCTCTGAGTCTAAGCTGTCCTTTGTGGGGAAATCTGAGAAAGGAGAAACAGGTGCTGGGATCCTCAGCAAATTTTGAGGTCTCTTCCAGATGATGAAATCCTGCCAAAATCAACTCTATCTTTGTTCCCTTTGAGACCCAGTTTCATCCATTAAAAAGCTTTTGTGATTCTCAAGCAGGCTCCTGGCCATGAGAGAAGTCTCACTGAGGTCTTAGGCATGTCCTTCCTATAGATTCTAGTGGTTAAGGCACCTGGCTGGAAACCAGGAGGCACTGAGTTCAGGTGCTGACTGAGGCAAGAAAACCACTGGGGGACTTTGTGCTGGTCACTCTCTCTCAGCCCCACCCACCTCACAGGGTTGTTGTTATGGGGAAAACAAGAGGAAGGAGGATTAGATATGTTCACTTCCTTGAATTGTGAGGGCAATTCGGAAATAAACCTCCGTTTGGTTATCAATGACAGACACTCACAGATACAGAACTTTTATTATACACAGTAGAAAACTACATTACATTACTTTTCGACATAATCGCCACTCAAATTGAGGCACTTGTCATAATGTCTTTGGTTTGAAATGCCTTAGTAGTGGTCGCTCAGCACCAGCTCTGGGTTATGGGGGGAGGTCTCTTTTCTGCGAAGTTCAAGATGGCGCAGAGACAAAATCCAGGCCAACAAACCAAGAACCCCTTCCTCTCCAACCGCCCTCCCTTCCCTTCAGGTTTTCCTCCCACGGGACCTTCTGGAAAACCTCCCCATTCCTTGCCAGAGATCTTGAATTCACAAGGGCAAATTTAGACCACGGTTTGCCTACAGATCTGAGAAGCATGGTTTTACTGCAGAAACCAAACTTCAAAGCTGCATTTTGCCAGATCAAGGATAGGTCAGTGGCAAAGATAAGCAAGTTGAACTGTTAAGAGACACAAACCTTTGGGGGGAGGGGGACTATATTAAACCAGAAAACACTCTCTAAAGCAGAAGCTCTCAAACCCTGAATTGCACTTCCTAGGAAGAAATGAACGAACTTAAGAGGAGGTGCAAACTGGGTAAGCTTTGCCCTTAAAATAACACACTCAATGTGAGAATCAACTCCATTTCTCTCTGAACAACTGGGTGATGGTCAAATGAATTCATTCTTCATTGGGAGCATTTCTTCTGGAACTAGGTTTCAGGTTTCCCGTCTTAGAGAAGCCACCTTGGTGTTGAAAGTCAGCTGAACTGAAGAGGAAGAGGTAGAAAATGAAAGCTGCCATGATAAGTCTCACTCAGGTGTGTGGCTTAATAGAGCTTCAGTACCAAGGGGCAGTCTACCTTGGAAGATCTAGGCCTCATGAATAAAAAGGAAAAAAACTGATCCTTTGGCTTTCTGAAAAGAGCAGCATCCCTCAATACTAGAACTTGTCTAAAAGAGAATCCTGTGATTTGATGTTCAGCTTCATTATCCTATAAAATATTTTCTTTGGGTAGAATCTATTCTACAATTGTTTTTCTGGTCTAGACTGCTTATGAGAAATGATATCTAAATTTAAAAACCCAGGGAGAAAATCTCTCTCTCTCTCTCTCTCTCTCTCTCTCTCTCTCTCTCTCTCTCTCTCTCTCTCTCTCTCTCTCTCTCAAAATCTCTCTCTGTCCTTAAACACAGCATCATCTAACAATACTTTGGCATTCAGAAAAAGAGTTTCTGCACCTAAGCAGAAATAACAAACCCTAGATAGATATTGAGACCAAAAGAAACCCAACATCTAATCACAAAGGGAATCAAACTGGAAGCTGACCAGGAGATGCATCAGGCAGTCTTGCTTAATCAGCTAGCTCAGTGGAGCTTCCATATGAAGAGGCAGTCTACAACCAAAGAGCCTTTGGTGGCAAAAGATAAGCATTAGGCAGCTTTGGTGGTTTGTTAGTAGGTTCCTACAGATTTGGACTGGCATTGGTGTCTGTAGAAAAGGTGGAGAAGGTGAGCTTTCATTGGATCCCAAGGGAGGCCTGTCATCTCCCAGGGATTCTACTGGGTTGATGATGTTATCCATCCAGCTCAACTGCCACTTTCTTTGGGCAATCTGAGGGAAGATGGCTTTCAAGAGGTAAGGAGATCTTCAGAAGGGCTGCTGGGCTCTTCTCCAGTTTAGAGCCAACTTCTCAGAGGATTGGGAGATTTCAGGGATGGGGACAGCCCTTTGTTGTCCTCTTAGGAAAAGGGACCTGGGGCAAATTTGTTCCAGAGCAGTTTTATCTTTAATTCCTTATTGGTGCTAAGAGACTGGGTTGGTTACTCCCCAATTAATCAGGATCACATGGCGTACTTAAGCTCCAAATTAAGGAACATTTTAAAATTTGAAAACTCACATGGTTGTGGAACACCTTCAGTCCTGTAAAACCAAACCAAGTTTAAAAGTGATAAGCTCAACCCAGAAGCATTATTTTTCCACTCTGCTTTTTTAAATCCAAGGGATTCTGGAAAATAGGCTTCAGTTGTTCCCTTCCCTTCCCTTCCTTTCTCTCTCTTCTAGGGCCAAGTTATTTTCCTGCTTCCGGAGGAAAACAAGGAAGGCGAGCGATCCAGGGGCCGATGCTCCCAGTTCCCCAACCTGCTGACTGGAGGACAGCACCAAGGCTCCTGAGCAAAGACGAGTCGCTTTCGTTGTGGATGTGGAGCTCCAGAAAGTGGAGCGATGTGGTGAGTAGATGCTCAGGGATGGGCTGGGACCTTGAGTAGGAGAGGAAGCAGCTCTTTAGGAGGGGATTCCTCCATGTAGGGATAGACAGGTGGTCCTTGACTTACAACAGTTCATGGAGTGACCGTTTCAAGGTATAATAGCACGGAGGAAAATGGCATGGTCGTTTTTCACACTTACGACCGCTGCAGCATCCCCACTATCAAATTCAGACACTGACTCATAATTAGGATAGTTGTAGTATCCCAGGGTCTTGTGAGCATCTTTTGCGACCTTCTGCCAAGAAAAATCAATGGGGAAGCAATGATTCAATTAACAGCTGTGTCAAGGAAGGTCATAAGATGGGACAAAAGTCAATTAACAAATGTCGGGTCACAAGGGGAAAAACGCTGCAAAGATGAGCCTGGTTTTGGAGGGTTTTCTTCATCTGGGGGAGACCTAAAACTTTGCCGAGCACCTGCCTCTCCATTCCCAGATCTCCCCAGAAAGGACACGACAGAAAAAAAGAAGAAAATTTTCTTCAAGACAAAGGACATCAGAAGGCTTCTTGCTGCAGAAGAGACCGATGGAGGAGCCAGAAGATATGGGAAGAGGTCCATGAGAGGATGCAGAAGACAGACCAACCAGTAGGTACCCCTGGGAATCAGAGGGTCCCATAGCTCAGCCTTTCTCCCAGGGGGGAATCCCAGTCTCAATGGGATTCAAACTTTTCCTCGGCAGGGAGAGAGACTCAGAAGGGTTTCAACCTTCCCTTCTGAAAAGGAGAAGACGGGGGACCCTGGGACTAAGTTGCCCAACAGCCTCCCCAACTTACAGCCTAACTCTTCTCTCTTGCAGCAGGAGCGCAGTATCGTTCGGGGCCTCTCTTCCATCGCCACTCTGTTTCAGCTGAAGCGGAGTGGGCAAATGGCAGACCCAGAGCCAAGAAACAAGGACCTCTACAGCCTGGCTGTCTTGGTAGGTCAGAGGGAGGCAGGGGCCATTGGAGGCAAGCAAAACAGGACAGGGAAACAGGAGCAGTAGACAAGCTTCCCCTGGACGGTTAAAATGTATCCTGTGCAAAGGGTCCTTAAGCAGGGGCTAACCCTCCTTTGTACTGAGAGGGAAGCTGTGGCAGAAGAAGAGGTCAAAAGGGGCTGGGAGAAATAGGAAGGGCTGGGCTGGAGCATCAAGGCTGACTTTCCCTTCTCTGCTTCTCTCCACTCTTGATTCCTGCCAGGCTCTGATGGAGGACAACAATTTAAGCAGCTTCACGGCAGGACTAGCTGCAATGCTTGCAGTCTACGACATCAGGTCCGCCTTTTCTTTCTTTTGCCTGCTATTCTCTCGGGAAAAATGAACCCCACAGCTGTTCACTAAGATGGCCACTGATGTCTCTTCTTTCCTTTGATCTCACAGCAAGGTTCCTCCAGCCATGGACCCAAAAGTTGAGTCTCGCCTCCTGAAAATCTTTGGGTCCGTGTGGTTGTCCTCCATGAAAAACGGAGAGGAGAATATTTCTGAGGTACCACCTTCAGCAACATTTCTGGGAGTTCCTTTCTGGTACTGGAACAGCTGGAAAAACATTTCACACATCATCATCCCTGTCTTTCATTTCAGGAAGAGAAGAAGCTGCTGGAAGACGTCTTTGGCCTCCTGCTCCGAGGTCTTCTGCAACAATCGGCCAAAACGGAGCATTTCATTTTTATTTTAAAGGTAAGGGCATCCATGTCCCAGGGAAGCTTGAAGGGACATTGGGCCCTTGGAAACATTCACCAAATCCGTTGTTAGAACTCCAGTGAAATCGTCCACTGGGAACAATCTAAGTAGGGGATAGTTCTTAAGGACAGGCATCAAGGAGGATGGGAATCCGGCTTCCCACAAGCGCTGTTTTCCAACATTCAGGGACCTCTTCACAAAGAAGCCTCTTTATCTCTAATGCTCCATGGCCAGAATTGCAGATGAGAGACAAAACTTGTTTATGGGGTCCTTTGCTTCAAATGCCATCCCATCCTTCCACCTTCCACCAAAGAAGCTGGGAGTAGCTATAGAGGGAGTGGGCGGCTTTAAAGGCCTGAGGAATGTACCCTAAATTACACAGGTGTGTTTGACAATGAGCTTCCCAAGAATAGTAACAAAGGTAATGTTTTTGCTCCAATTCCACAGCACTTTGAGAAACACGGACGGCAATGCTTCACGTCTGCCTGGAATCAGCTACTCTATTGTGGAATCCACCAAAGTAGAATCAACGTATGTAGAAACATCAAAATAAGACTGCACATTTTGGGTCCTCCACTGTTTTTGGGACCCCATCCTCATATAACCCCTCTCTCTTGGGAGATAAGGACAGGGGGGCAAGGGGTTCTTTTTCCTTTGCTTCCACTTTATGGCAGACTAGGGAATCCCTACACATGGTGTTTTATAGCTGATGTTTGTATTCATGGGCCCAACTGAACATAGGGAATGACTCAGCAAGACACTTTGGCAACAGTACGATGGACTTCTTTCTTTCTCTTCCAGCTCACTGAAGCCCAGAGGACATTTCCACACTTTCCAGTGAAGATTGTGCAGGCTGGATATGAAGACAGATTCATCAATGAAGGTAACTTTCTTTTGGAACATTAAGAGAGGTCTGTGTGTGTGTGTGTGTGTGTGCGTTTGTGTGCAGGTATCAGCACATGAAAGGAAGGATAACACCCCCCCCCCTTGTATCCAAAATGGGGTTTAAGTACTCCTCAACTTTCAACTGGTCACATAACAGTTATTCAAAGTTAAGACACAGCGGAAAGTTAAGTTAAGCAGTCCTGTGATCACATTTTGGGCGCTTGGCAATCGGTCCACACTTAAGAGCAGTTGCAGCGTATTGTGGTTATGTGATCATGTTTTCCAATTTTTGTTGTTGTGTTGCTTTCTGGACAAAAATAGATGACAAAACTGATCTATGAATAATCTGGATTTGGATTCATGACCACATTACTTGCTTTAAGACCACTTACCAACCATTAGAAAAATGATCGTATAATTGGCCAAAATTCTGGACTCAATTATTGTTGTAAATTGAGGACTACCCTTATCTGGTTTCCAGATGCTTAAATGTCAGCATCTCTGTATCCTTCGCGTGTTCTCATTGTGCTGATAGGCAGACGCTTCCCTTCCATTTGCCACCTTCCTTCCTTCATTTGTCTCAACTTTTGTCCCCATGCAGGTGACCTAACAATAGAGGAGCTCTGACGTCTTCACTCCCTGCCGCCGTTGGACACAGAAGGATGGATCAAAAGGATTTCCAGTCTATCTGAAGGAAAGTCCCTTCGTTTCTCCCATTTAGAATCAATTACTCTTCTGAACTTAAAATACAGTAAATTCTGATATTTCTGCTTTCAGGTTCTTGGACCGCCTCATCCCTTCAAGAACAGATCTCTCAGCTACTGAAGACCACCACTGATTTTGGAAGATCGCGAGAAGGCTACTCGTGTTGTGGAGCAGATACAAACTCTCGTCCGTTTTTGTGTGCTGCAGCAGGTTGGTGATGTGGAGGGTTGGACTAACAAACGATTCACTTTCTGCAAATGTGGCCTTTCTCTCTCTCGAGTATAGGATTCATGTTGTTTTTTGCAATGTGGTTTTTCTGTCTCCTTAGGACTTTGGGACAGCAATCAACATGGCGCCTGGAACTCACCTCCTTCCTTCGACTGTTACCAACTGGGCCATCCTCTCTCCAGGCTGGAGGAACCATGAAAGACTCTGCGATTCCACAGGCCCCACTGATGGATGGACTAAGAGATTTCATAGGGAAACGTCAGCCCTTCCAGCTAATGTTTCTGGCATCTATCTGATATTTATATGTCCCCAATTATATGCCGCTCATTTAAGAGAAACACGAGATAAAGAAAATAGAAATTCAGCAAAAAGAGCTACTTGAACAGCATCTTGCAAGTCTTAAACTACAAACTTCCAACTGCAACTTTTTATTTCTGGATCCATTACAGCGGCTGCTTCCTACGTTTCTTTCTCTGACCTTTGAAGTTACTGAGGGCTCCTCCTGACACATTCCATTACCCTAATTTAGGTTACAATAGTATGTCCATTTCCAGCACACTTCTTCATTTGAGACTGATATTCTTCTCATGCACCTCTGTGCAGTATGAGGAATGTGATGAGTCAAGTACTTTTATTATTTTATCAAAATATAATATGGTGAACTACAAGAAAACTGAAAATAATGGGGAAAGAAAGGAAGAAAAGAGAAAGGAAAAGTGTAGGAAAAGGGGAAAAAGAGAAGAGAAGAAAAGGAAAGCATTGAGTTACAATGTCTTTTGGAGCAGTAGACTAAGCAATAACTTACAACCTCAACTTTTTATTTCACAAAATAATATATATATAATAATATAAATATAAGGTGCCAATGGGTCAAAGCAATCCATACATCAGAGCAAAAAAAGACTATTATTGATGGAGACTTAACTAAACCATGTCAAATCTCAAAGAGTAGGAGGAAAGGAAGCCCCTTATCTCCCCTGCTGTTTACCTCTGTGCTGGAAGTTTTCAATAAAGATATAAGGCAAGATGAAAAAATCACAAGTATAAATCTTAAAAAGGAAGTGACAGCATTTATTGATGGGTTTGTTATCCAGAAAATACACGAAAGAATATTTGATGAAGAAACTAAACGACTTTCGAGTTTAGTGGACTATAAAACAGAAAAAAACAATGTTTGTTAAGAATATGGAACTGAGGACTATGAAATACTAAATAAAAAGTCAGGATTTAAGTTGGAGAAAAAGTTGGAATATCTGAGTTTATAGGGAAAACAAAATTCTGAACTGTTTCAAAATAACTTTGAGCCTTTTTGTCACCAAATCTAATATGGAGAACTAGAAGGAAAATGAAAATAATGGGAAACAAAGGGAAGAAAACAGAATGAGGAAAATGTGTAGGAAAAGGCGGAGAAGCGAAGAGAAGAGAAGAGAAGAGAAGAGAAGAGAAGAGAAGAGAAGAGAAGAGAAGAGAAGAGAAGAGAAGCACTGAGTTACAATTTCTTTTGGAGCAGTAGAATAAGCAATAACATACAATCTCAACTTTTTAATTCACAAAATATTATACATAAGGTGCCAAAACAGTTTATAACACTGGTGAAAGCAACCCATATGTCATATCAAGCAAAGTTTATTATTTTTTTTTATTGAAATTTTTTAAAGACTTTTACAAAAGACAAAAAACAACAATACCAACAACAACAAGAAGAAGAAAAAACAAAACAAAACAACTCCCCCCCCCACCCCTCCCAAACCACCCATTCCCTCCCCCCCCCCCGAGCTTCCCAGAGCAGAATATAGGCTTAATTAAAAAAAGTTAAACAAATTATAATGGAGACTTAACTAAACCAAGTCAAATCCCAAAGGATACAAGGAAAGGAAGCCCCTTATCTCCCCTGCTGTTTGCATCAGTGTTGGAAGTTTTCAATAAAGATATTAGGCAAGATGAGAAAATCACAAGTATAAATCTTAAAAAGGAAGCTTATAAACTCATTTGCTGATGAGTTATCCAGAAAAAACACTATAGAATATTTGATAAAGAAACTAAATGACTTTGGAGCTTTAGTGGGCTATAAAATAAATAAACAGAAAACAACAATGTTTGTTAAGAATATGGCTTCTCAGGACTATGAGATACTAAATAAAAAGTCAGGTTTTAAGTTGGAGAAAAAGTTGCAATACTTAGGTTTACATTGACAACAAAATTCTGAACTGTTTCAAGATAACTTTGAGCCTTTTTGTCACAAAAGTAAAAAAGACTAATTAGGATGAGATAACTTATTGGGTAGAATCTCTGTAATGAAGTTTAATGTCCAAGCAAAGATGCTTTTTGTGTTTCAGACTCTTTTTCTGTATCTGATGCTCCATTTTAACAATGTCAGACAAACATCTTGAAGAAGGAAGGGGGGAAAAAACCAAGAATCAGATATAAATTATTGCAAAATGCTAACTAAAGAGGAGGTTTGGGATTACCAACTTTGAACTTGTACGTTGATGCCTGTTATTTGGTCTGGCTAAGAGAGCGGGGGACCCTCTAAAATAAGAGGAGAGTTGAGCTGCAGTGCCATGAATTAAGATTTGGATGGCACGCCAATTTATGCTATGAAAAAGTTGAAGGAAATGATGATTTCAACAACCATTTTGTTAGACATGCCATCCTAAGAGTTTGAAGTAAATATCAAATAAGGTTCTCTGCAAAAATAACCCCTTGGGTGTCGTTCCAGGAAGCTTTGTGTTGTTTTTTGGAAAAAAATTGGTGGTAAGGCTTATGGTCAAATAATATTTTTCTGTTATGGTGACCCTCTACTCAAATCTAAAGAAGAGTTGCAATTAGAAGGAATTGTTGGCCATTGATTGATATATTTACAGTTGAAGGAAATAATTAGATTGTTAAAAATCTATGGATTTCATTTTGTAAAAAAGTATATGCAAATTCTGTTGTGTGGTAGTGATTAACTTATTATTGTGAAGGTTTATAAATTGCTATTGAATATGGAGAATGAATTTGTAAAGCATTATATCATTCAGTGGGCAAAGAATCTTGGATATAATTAAATGCTTCAACAAAGGAAACATATATGGACAAAAGTTTTAAAATTTAAATTATAGCTGAAAAGAAAATTTTTACATGACATACTATTGGTAACTAACACGGGACAAATTGTCAAGAATGTATGAAGCGTTCAGATGAATTATAGAAATGTAAATGTAAAGAAGGAACATTTTACCATTTATGGTGGACATGTCACACAAAAAAATTTTTTAATACAGAAAATTCTTAAAGTGAATATCAAGATAAATTCAGAGACTTTTCTCTTGGGCTGAATGAATAAAGAACTTGAAAGAAATGGAACTTTGATGTTATATATGCTGACAGAGGAAGAATAATTCCACAAAAATGGAAGGATACTTTGATTCCCAAAGTGGACAAATGGCTGCAAAACGTTGATGGAGTTAAGAAAGACACTAAATGGACTGCTTTAATTAAAGAAAAGAACAAAATTTTGTTTCTATTGGAAACCTCTTTTGGACTTGTGCTTTGTGCCTTGATGGACTTTGTAATAGCTGAAATATGGTTTTTGTTGTACTCTTGCACCAGCTAACTAACATGGGATTTTTTTGTACTTTAAATTTGCTTTTTCAAATGTGTGACTCATAAGTTCCCATAAGCCTTCGCTTTCAGAAAAATGCCTCCTTTTCAGAGACGGGGACTGGCAGGAGAGCGTTCCATACTCTGCAGATCACAGTCTCCCTTTCAGCTGTTCTGAAGCCTCCGTGATCAAAGCAAAGATTCAAGCTCAACCTTGGGAAGAGCTGAGAATGTTTCCTACCCAGATACATCTAGAGGTTTTCCCTTTGCAAATGTTTCTCTTACTGAGCATGCAATGCTCTTTTCTATGGCTGTGCTCACGTATTATTGGATGCTCTAATTTCTGTGATGTAACTGGACACATGACTGTTTCTAAACCAATCAAGGTTTGCTTTGAAGTTATTTTTTTTTTAACCAACAAAACAAAACAAAACAAAGCAAAACATAACACACATACACACACAATATATACTCCTCTCCCTTTTTTTATAGCGATTGCGTAATGGTAATCTATTATTTACATTTCTCCCATTATTCTTCTTTAGAATATTTGTCCTTATTGCCCCGTTGTTTCTTATTTACATTTTTCTTCCTTCATATTCTACTTCTTACTAAGAATAATTTATATTATTATACATTATTATACACATATTTTCACTTTTGACCTGTCCATATTTATTCTCCTCTATTATTTCTAGTCTCCAAACAGACATACCACTTGTTCTATGTTATATAATACTCTGTGTCTTCCTTTTCTTTTATCTCTTTTGTTAATTTGTCCATCTCAGCACAGGCCAGGATTTTTCTTATTACTTCTTCCTCTGATGGCATATTCTCATTTTTCCAGCACTGTACATATGCTGTTCTTGCCGCCGTTATTATATGTAAAATTAAGTACCATATTTCTTTACTATATTTTCTGTGTAAAATACTCAACAAAAAGATCTTTCGTTTCCAGTCTACGGGTTGGTCTATCATTTCTTCAATCCATTTTCTTATTGTAGACCAGTATTTTTTTGCAACTGGGCATGTCCACCATAAATGATAATATGTTCCATGTACTTTTTTTTCATTTCCAGCATGTTGGTGAATTGTTCTGGAACATCTTGGCAAGCTTTGCTGTGGAAGATGCCATCTGTAAAACATCTTCAACTGGTTTTCCTTGAATGCCGCCGACATAGTCAATTTTATATTTATTTCCCATATTTTTTCCCATTTCTCCAATTCTATATTATATCCGAAATTTTTTGCCCATCTAATCATTGCGTCTTTGACAACCTCGTCTTATATTTTATATCTCAATAGGTATTTGTATAAATTGCTAATTAATTTTATTTCTGTTCCATGTATAATTTTATCCAATTCTTGCGGCTCTTTTTGGATTTCATATAATTTTTTGTCCTGCTTTGAAGTTCTTTGTTTTGCTAATGTAAAAGTCAATATAAACCATTTTAACAAAGTTTCCCCTTTTCCTATGGAGCCCCCACTTGATCAAAGTACTTTATAAAATGCTTTTAAATCATTTTCTGACTGGTTTGTTTATTGGAAAAACATGTAGAACGAGGCAGAACCTCTAGAGCCAGATTTGGCCAACAGCTTGAGGTGGGGAAAAATGTAACTTTGATTTTGGGTTTTGCTGTTAGATAGTTTGTTGTTGTTTTAGAAATGGCTCGTAGATATTATTATATAAAACTTAAAGTACATCCAGAGCCTCTGTATGTCTAGAACCTAGAATAACAGGCTTGGACGGGCCCTTGGAGGTCTTCTAGTCCAGCCCTCTGCCTGAGCAGAAGACTTGCAAACATGATCCAGCTGAGCTCTCGGAGGTTTCCTCCTGGGGAATGACCTTGGAAAGAGGCGAAAGAGATGCTTCTAGACACCCCAACCGGCTATCAGATCACCCGGAAGCAGTGAAGAATGAAGAATGGTGGCCCAACAGAGGTTCTTCTCTCCTGCACCCGATTGTCACCAGATGCCTTCAGACAGAGGGAAGCCAAGAGAAGCAACTGCCTTCTTCATCCAGATGAGCTCAAGAGTGACGTTTTCTCCAGATTCTTCCTTCTTTCCTCCCCCCCCCCACCTATCCTCCATCATCCTCCTGCTCTCCACCCTCAGGGCTCTTCAACATACAACAGTTTGTTTAGGGACCGCTTGAAGTTACAAGGTCACTGAAAAGAGTGGCTTCTGACCGTTTTTTACGCTTACAACAATTGCAGCATCTCCATAGTCAGGTGATCCAAATTCAGACACTGGACAACTGGCTCCTATTTATGACAGTTGCTCTGTCCCAGAGTCACGTGATCATCTTTTGCAACCGTCCCAGCTGGCTTCTGACCAGCAAAATCAAGGGGGGAAGTCAGAGTTGCTTAACAAGCACACGATTCACTTAACAGCTTCTGACTCACTGAACAACCACAGCAAACGGGTGGGGAATGACATATTAAACAAATGTTCTATTGTCATAGATTGACAACTACGTTTAAAACAATTTTTTTATAGGAAAGTGTGTATCTAACTATCTGTAAGAAGTCATCCATGTGTCATGAACACAATATGAATTCTTTGCAGATAGTTCTCAACTTATGATTGGTCACTTAGCAACCATTCAAAGGTACAACGGAGACCAGAGCCACCTACGACCAAGATTCAAAGTTCTTTGCAGCTTCCCATGGTCACATTATAGAGATTAAGAACATTTATGCTGCGGGGAAAGCAAAGGGAAAGGAAAGGAAAGGAAAGGAAAGGAAAGGAAAGGAAAGGAAAGGAAAGGAAAGGAAAGGAAAGGAAAAGAAAGCCACGATTGCCCCCTATTTACCTTTCCTAAGAGGACCACAAATGGCTGCTCCCACCTCTGGAATCTCCCAATCCTCTGAGAAGGTGCCTACAATGGGGAAGGTTACCCAGAGCCCAGGAGCACTTCTGAAGACTACTGAAAACTTGGCAGCCATCTCCACTCAGATCACTGAGAACTGACAGTAACTGACAGTTGAGCTGGATGGATGACATCATCAAACCAGTAGAATCCCCATGGAGATGATTATGACAAGCCTCCTTTGGCATC